TCCTGCCTCTGCCTCCCAAGTAGCTGGGACCACAGGCACCCGCCACAACGCCCGGCTATTTTTTGGTTGCAGCCATTATTGTTGTTTGGCGGGCCTGGGCTGGGGATTCGAACCCGCCACCTTGGGTGTACATGGCTGGAGCCTTAGCCACTTGAGCCACAGGCGCCGAGCTGGCTTTAGTTATTTTTATACATCTATAAATTATTTTCCATTTAAAAAGAAAACTGGTATTTTCATATTTAAAACTTAAGAAGGGAAATATGGGGAAAGAAATGAATTTACTATGTTAGAGCAGTTTTCTATTTTTCTTTATTAATGAATGAAAATTGGTCGTTAGTTTTTTGTTTGTTTTTCGGTTTTGAACCCACCACCTCCGGCATACGGGGCTGGCGCCCTACTCCTTTGAGCCCCAGGCGCCGCCCTGTTAGTTCTGATGCTGTTACGTGCACACACATTAAAGGTTGTTGTGTTTTCTTCCTTTTTTTTATGATGCTACAGAATATGCAGACATTACGTTTTCTTAGAGAATCGACGCCTTTATCATGTTGTAATGCCCCTTTTTATCCCTAATGATTTTTTGTGCTCTAAAGTTTGCTCTGTCTGAAATTAATAGAGCTACTGAACATAGATTATTAATAGTTACTCAGATGATTTTGCCTCAAATATTGTTTAAGTATGCTTCCTAGTGGTAAAAAGTCTATCATTAAAATAATTTTAGGGCTTTATCTTCTAAAATATAAAATATGAAATTATTTAGATTATAAATAGAATACAATTGGATTGAGAATTTTATACTTTTAAAAGCTCATAAGTAAAGGAAAGCTCCTAGGACCAAAAAAAGAAAGGAAAAAAAAAAAGCAGGATTGACAACTGATCTAAAATCAGTGAGAGAGAGAGATGCTGAGGACAAATGTTGATTTTAGTACATGAATCTGGAGACCAGTGGTAAGTCTTGAGTTTCCCCCTCCCCCAAACCGAGAAAGCTGAGAGATTCCTTTACTAAGCCCAGAGCGTAATTATCTGGAGTGGTCTTAGAGCAGGAAGGTCTTCTGGCTACTCTACCCCAAAAACACAGATGTCTGGAGTAACACATAATCCACTTAGACTTGTAACATTCCCTCAGATTGGATTTGGTAAAAATACATCAAACCATTAAAGAAACAAGTCATTATGGATAAGAATAAACAAATAACAAAGCTTAGCTGTAGATGCAGAGGACTGTGGATGGTCTGTGCGGTGATAATCTGATGAGTGAATAGAGTATACTTTATATTTTACAGCCAGAGAAACAAGAAATACGACACCCTGTGTAAGAACAGAGCCGGCAACGACCTGTACGTGGAGAGGATGATGCAGACGTTTAACGGGGCTCCGAAGCACAAGGACGTGCAGTGCGACAGGATCGTGATGGAGGACAAAGGTGCCCGCCCGCTCGCTCCTCTGGGCAGACCGCTGTGTTTAGTGTGTGTCCCAGGAGTCCAGCAACCAGCAGTAAAATGCTGAAACAATAAATCAAAAACAAAAATGATTGAACCGACTCCCACAGCAGCAGAGTACTGTGATCTGTTGCTTTCAGAATTTGACAAATGAGTTAACAAGTAGTAAAGATAAGGAAGATTTGAATAAGATAATTATCAGTCTTGATTTTTAGTCGTGCTGTGTCACAGAATTTTATACTTTTTAAGTGTTCGTGAAACATGTATGGAAACTGATGTTGGCAGGGTGCGGTGTGACTCATGCCCGTAATCCCACCACTTTGGGTGGTTAAGGAGGGAGGATCACTTAAGGCCAGGGACTCGAGATAAGCCTGGGCAACATAGCAAGACCCTGTCTCTACAAAAAAAAGAAAAAAATAGTGGGCATGGTGGTCCATGCTTACAGTCCCAGCTATGCAAAAGGCTGAGGCAGCATGATCTCTTGGGCCCAGACGTTTGGGGTTATAGTGAGCTATGATTGTATCACTGCACTACAGCCTGGTGACAGAGCAAAGATCCCATCTCTAAATTAAAAAAAGAGAAAGGACCAGACTGTGATCCTCCTCCTGCCTCAGCTGCCCACGAAGCTGGGATTACAGGCGCAAGCCACCACACCCAGCTTCTTGTTGATAAAATGTCTGGAATAAAGAGCAAACTTCTCCCTTAAAGGTGAACTGCTGGAAATAATAACTTCTATGATTTAGTAAATATAAGAACCAGAAAATGGCATCACTGCCGTGATTTACCACTGTTTGGGCAATTCCAGCCATTTCTATAAGACAAAGATAGATACGGAATATTAATATGTGTAAAGAGAAAACCAAGTTATTCATAGGTGACATTAACATCTGCTTAGATACCTCAAGAGAATCAACTGTAAAAAACAGGAGTTCCAGGATGATGTAGCAGAAACGGCAGAGCAGGTCGTCCCCACCACACGTCCAGCAGGGCCTCCCCACTACACCTCCCTCCACAGAAACGCCCTTGGCATTGAGCAGAAACTGTGCCCATGAACTTTGTCAGAACTCTGGAAAATAGTCAAAACACTAAATTTTACTAAGGGGAGAAATATGTGAAGAGACAGACCTGAGTGTGACAAGTACTGTAGAGCTGCCCCGTCTCATCCGATTTACAACTGCTTGTCCAGATTGTACTGGTGATCTGTGTGCGCCCATATGTGGAGTATGTGGGGATTTGACCACATAGTCCAAATGTATCTCAAATTAAATGCATAAGAATAGTCAATTATTAATATCATAATAATAGTGAGATGGTGGCAATTCTTGGAAGGATAGTGGTGAAAGCCTCGGGATTCAGGGGTTCCAGCTGTGCCCCAAGCACAGCAGGCAGGCAATTCCAGTAGAGTTGTGTGACTGGAGACTGGTGCCTTCACGTCGTCCCCTAGGTGCTCACCGACCTTATACCACTAACCCTAACCCTAACCCTTCCATGCTGAGGACGGAGTACTTAGGAATCTGTGCAAATGCGTCTCTGTATCTAGCCTGCTGTCACCATTCTTAATTCAGCTCCTCATTTCCTTTCAAGTGTGCCTCCTTAGATAAGTTAAGGAAGCTCAATTATTTGAAATACCACCTTTATCGTAAATTATCATGTGAATACTGTCAAGGGAACTTACCCTTATTTTTTGTGAGCTTGTATAAAAGGAACTTCAGCTAAGTTACCACTCCTTCCTCAGGACAGAGAAGTGAATAACTTGGAGGGAGAGTGTGGTGCGGTCATTTCTGGCTGAGTCCCTTTCTGCTAGGTCTGCCGACTTGCAGAAAGTTTGCGTTCTGGAATGTTCTCATCTCTGCCCAGGAAATCTTACAACTATAAGATGGCTATGCCAGTTACAGTGGGTTGGTGACTCTTCCCTATAATCTCAGCTGCAGTTGTAAGGCTTTGCTTTTCAATTAGCCTTATCAGTTATTAAAGATAACATTTTGATCTCTATTTCTCTCATTCCCGCATCTTTCGGTCTAAAATCAGGCAGGGAAGAGGTATGTTTCTATGAATCCATAAGCCCTTAATATTTACTTGGTCTGTATCAAAGTTCTTTACTATAAACTCTCATTACTTTAAAAGATCTTTATTGTGAAATCTGTCCCAGCAGAAACGTTTATCTCTGTCTTGCTTTCTTCTCACACACAAATAAAAATATTTATATGTCGTAAGGAAAGATTTAATTCCATGTTCTCGCCAGCCAGAACAAGAAGTCAGGTGGACAAGGTGGCCCACACCTGTAACTGCAGCACTTTGGGAGGCCAAGGCAGGAGAGAAGGTCGCACATGGCCCAGAGTTGGAGACCAGCCTGAGCAACATAGCAAGACCTGTCTCTACAAAAAAAAAAATTATCTGGGTGTGGTAGCGTGCACCTGTAGTCCCAGCTTCTTGGGAGACAAAGGCAAGAGCATTTCTTGAGCTCAGGAGTCTGAGGCTGCAGCGAACTATGATGGTGCCGCTGCAATCCAGCCCGGGCTACAGAGGGAGATCCTGCCTCAAAAAGAAAAAAGAAGAAGAAAAGAGAAGAAATCTAACATTTCTGTTGCGTAGAAGCTCCCCCGCCCCCAACACTGCTGGCATGACCTCTCTCTTCTAGCCGCCTCTAACTGAAGCATCTACTCTCCTGACTTTTACTTGGACCATCACCCTGGTTTTTTAGTGTTTCTTCTGGTGTAGCAGATGCCGCCGGTGTCCTGCCCACACCTCTTATGCCCAATCTCCAGCTGTCAGCATCTGCATTTCTTGCCTTTTATAAACTATTCAACACATATTTTAAACTTAGAAATGCTAAACAAGTGTAATTTGGAATACCTTTTTCTGCTACCAGTTAAAGTATGCATTCTTTAATAGTATTTAATTATAAAATTGGGAAATCATGTCCATTATTTATTACTCACTTTTCCTAACAGCTTCATTGAGGTATAATTTGTATACAAAATGGCAGATATTTGATTCATACAATTTGATGAATTAGAGATTCTCTTTACAAATGAACAAACGTAAAACTAGCAGTCATTTGTTATTTTCAAATAAGAAACCCAAATATCTTACATTACTTATAATATGTACATTTATTTACATAGCAATTATTTTATTAGTGGCCATGTAACAATATATTCCTGTATGCTCAAATTAACTAAACTTTCAGTTCAAGGGAAGAAAACAAAAGGTAATTAAATATTCGAAGATATAATTTCTTTCTAAGATCTCTTCATGAGCATGGACATTATACTCTTTTCAATTTGGCAAAATATACTGAGTATTCTGCCAATAACTTTGTTAAGTGTATTAAGTTCATTAAGATGGAAATGTTAAGAAACCTGAGTTAACATTCTACTCTCCTGAGAGCACCCACATTTTATATTAGGAAAATAACTAATACCATTAGTTGTGGTAATGAAGTAGCTGTAGTTATTAGATCCAGATTCTATTTTGATTTTTAAGGAAAAGAATTCTTTGTCAGATCACCACCCTTTAACTGCAAGTTTGGCAAATTCAGCATGCAAGGACATATCATTAAATGATGACTGTTAAAATAACTGCTGCATGGCATTATAAATCAGCAGTGAAAGAGGTCAGGAGCTTTTAAAAATATTATTTAAAGATAAATGACATTGCCCATTTATGTTTGGAGACCATTTTTATATTTGATGATCTGAACACATTTAACTAACTTAAACTCATGTTTTAAAAGAGAAGATAATGACCAGACTACATGTTTCTTGAGATCAGCATCTATCATTTACTCAGAAAGTACAATCTTTTCATGTAATAATTATATAGCAAATTTTACTTGATAAAATGGAACACTATGCTTGCAAATAAACTATCTGTTGAGTTTAACATATACTATGTTGACTGTAAGTAAGGAAACGTGAAAAGTCTGTTATTGGCAGTTGTTGAGGTGGATGTCAGCAAGGCAGTCCTACAACAGCAGATGTGAGATCGTGTTGCACCAGCAGGCATCAGAGAGGGCGGCAAGGACCCCAAAACATTGTCAGAGTGTCTGTAGATGCTAATGGTGTGATGACTAATGATCTCGAGGTATCTTCATGTTTTATTTTTTTGTCATTTTTATTAACCTCTGGCATTACTGTAAGATTATATTATTATTGATGATAGCGTTCTTAAAAAATAAACAGTAGATATTCTTTTTTAAAAATTAAAACAATTTTTTAGAGGTGGGGTCTCACCGTGTTGCTGCAGTGCAGTGCTATTCTCAGGCATGACTGTGGCACCCTGCTGCCCTGAACTGGCCTCCAGCAACCCTCTAGCCTAAGTGGTCCTCCCTCCTCAGCCTCACAAGAGCTGGGATTGCTGACACAGGTCACCATGCCTGGCAACAGTGGATATTATTTTAAATTTTGTTATGAGTAGTTACGTATAAAGCAAAAGCATTGGAATTTGGTTTAAAGTAGTAATCTTTGCTTTTTTTTTTCTCTCTTTAGGCATAATGTCTACAGCCTGGGATTTGTATGATTCTTACAATGCTCTGGAACTTCTGTGTTCATCAGCCAAAAAGCCTTCAATGGAGCCAGGCAGGGCTGGTGGACACCCTAAGGACCGGGACCAGAGGCCGCCAGGTAGCACTCGAGAAAAGACAGATTGCATTTGCTCCAGGTTTTTTAATGGTTTTCTTGGGACATTTTTAACAAATTTTTTTTTTGCAGTTCAATGTTTTCTTTCTGATGGACCATGGAAGTGTGACTCCAACTCTGAAGCAGCACCAGTGTTCTTTCACACCGTCTTAGACTCACTTGACAAATTCATTTTTTTATTGGATACCTGTCAAGAGTTTGCAGAGTTTCTGTCTCTGTAGTGCTACTTAACTTGCTCCCAAGCTTCATCCGCACATGCAGGTTCCATCATTTTATTCTCCCTTTGTTTAGATTAGATAATTTGTAAGAAAAAGAATATACACTACTTATGTGGCCACTGAAAACAGAGATACAGTAACAACAAAGGCTCCTTTTGCATTTTTTTTTTATTTCAGAAAGTTACAGGGGTACCTCCGTTTTGGTTTCATAATTTGCTTGTGTCTGTTTCAGGTCAAAGCTGTAAGTGTGCCCTTCATCCAGAAGGTGTGCATCGCGTCCGTCAGCTGGGATTGAACGAGCCCTCTCCCCCCACCCCCTCGGTCCCCATTGGGCTGCACCCACCCGTGTGCGCCTGGGTCTTGACTGGCTCCAGGTTAGCGTGGAACACGGGTGCTGCTCCTTTTTCCATTCTTGCAGCACTTCACTTAGAAGAACGGTCTCAGGCTGTTAAAAAAAATACCAGATCACCGTTTCTCTTTACGGCTGAGTAGAAGTGCGTGGTACACATATACCACCTTTTACAGTCCACTCGGGTGTTGACGGGCACTTGTGACTGTGCTGCTGTGAACATTCAAGGGCAAATGAGTTTTTTGTTTTTAATTTTTATTTTTTAAAATTTCAAGTTAATGTGAGGGTATAAGCAGCTAGGTTACAGTGTTTGCATTTGTTAGGTAGAATCCCTGTGGTAGTTGTGTCCCGCACCCAAAAGGTGTGCTGTGTACCCCTACATTGTGCCCATTAAGTGGGAGCATCCCCCTCCCAACCCCCCTCCCTTCTCCCCCATTACACCCCAACTTGAATAGAACTAAGTTTTTCTCTTATGTAGGTGTGTATCAAAGTCTACTGTCTTCATATTAGTACTGAGCACATGGGATTCTTGTTTCTCCATTCTTGTTAGACTTTACTAAGAAGAATGTGTTTCAGCTTCATCCAGGTTAATACAAAAGATGTAAAGTCTCTGCAAATGCTTTTCTTTAAAAAATGTCTTTTTTTTCCTTTAGGCGAATACGCAGCAGTGAGTTGCTGGTAGGTCTCCCTTAGTTCTCTGAGGCGTCTCCGTACTGCTTTCCGTAGAGGCTGTGCAGGCCGCAGCCCCTCAGCAGTGTTGAGTGTGAGTGTTCCTTTCTCCACAGGCCGCTGGCATCTGTTGCTTTGGGACTTTCTGACATGAGCCATTCTCACTGGCATTAGGTGATATCTCTGTGTGCTTTCATTTGCATTCCCTGATGATTAGAAACACTGAGCATCTATTTATTCATGTGTTTGTTGGCCACCTTCGTGGGAAAAGTTTCCCTTCCTGTCTTTTGCTTTTGATCGTTTGATTTCTCCGCTCTGATTTGCATCAGTTCTTGGTGGATTCTGGTTACCAGCCCTTTACCGAATGTCCAGCATAAAGTATCTTCTCCTGCTCTGTGGGTGGTCTGTCACTCTATTGATTGTGTCCTTGGCTGTGCAGAAACGTTTTAATTTGATCAGCCTCCATTTGTTTGTTTTTGTTGTTGGGCAGCCTTGTCCGGTTCCAGTTCTAAAGGGAAATGCTTTCACCTTTCCCCCATTCACTACGATGCTGCCTGTGGGTTTGTCACATACGGCCTTTGTAATTTTGAGGTACGTCCCTTCTACACCAATTTTGTTAAGTGTTCTTTTTATAAAAGGGCACCACACAACAAAACCTCATCTCTACAAAAAAACATTTAAAAGTTACCCTTGTGTGGTGGTACATGCTTGTACTCCCAGCTACTTGGGAGGCTGAGGCAGGAGGATCACTTGAGCCCAGGAGTCCGAGGCTGCAGTGTCCTGTAATCAAGCCAGTGCATTCCAGCCTGGGCAACAGAGCAAGAGCCCATCTCTATTTTTAAAAAGAGTTTGAGTATGGGGCAGCACCTGTAGCTCAACGGAGTAGGGCGCCAGCCCCATATGCCAGAGGTGGCAGGTTCAAATGCAGCCCAGGCAAAAAACTGCAAAAAAAAAGTTCTGCTGTGTCTTGGTGTATAGTATTTCTTTAGATTTATTTGATTTTTTGAATCTGTCCATAATTTTCCATATTTTAGAAGTTTATCAGTTATTTAGAAGCTATTAATTTCTTCAAGTACTTTTTCAGTCACACCCTCCTTCTTGGAGCACAAGATCCCTTGTCTCACGGGTATCTGAGGCTCTGTTCACCTTATTTTCAGACTCTGTTCTCTCTGTTTTTGAGACTGTGTTATTTCTTTCTTTCTTTCTTTTTTAGAGACAGATTCTCACTTTGTCACCCTTGGTAGAGTGCCGTGGCAGCGTCACAGCTCACAGCTCACAGCAACCTCCAACTCCTGGGCTTAGGCGATTCTCTTGCCTCAGCCTTCCAAGTAGCTGGGACTACAGGCGCCCACCACAATGCTTGGCTATTTTTTTGTTGCAGTTCGGCTGGGGCCAAGTTTGAACCCGCCACCCTTGGTATATGGGGCTGGTGCCCTACTCACTAAGCCACAGACACCACCCAAGAGACTGTGCTATTTCTATTACTCTTTCTTCAAGTTCACTGATTTTGCCCTCTGTGTCTCCTCCGTTTTGCTGTGATTCCATTAATTGAGTTTTTAATTTTGGTAATTATAGTTTTCACTTTTAAAATTTCTACTTGGTTCTTTTCATTTGCTAGGATTTTTTTTTTGATGATACTTTCTTTTTTTTTCATTTTTGCAGGTGTATTCATAAATGCTTGTTGAAGCATTTTTTTTTTTTTTTTTTAGACAGGATCTCATTCTGTCACCCTGTGTAGAGTGCTGTGGCATCCTCTTAGCTCATAGCAACCTCCGACTCTTGGGCTCAAGAGATCTTGCCTCAGCTTCCTTAGTAGCTGGGACTACAGGTGCTCACCACAACGCCTGGCTAGTTTTTCTATTTTTAGTAGAGATGGGGTCTCACTCTTGCTCAGGTGGTCTTGAACTGAGTTCACCCACTTTGCCCCCCAGAGTGCTGAGATTATAGGCACCAGCCACTGTGCCCGTCCATTGTTGAAATGTTTTTATGATGTTTGCTTTAAACATTTTGTCTGATAATTCTCCCATCTCTCTTATTTTTATATTGATGTCCATTGATTTCTTTTTCATTCAAGTGGAGGTTTTCTTGGCTCTTAGTATGATGAGCGGTTTTTAGTTGAAATCTAGGCCTTTGGGGTGTTATGTTGTGGGGTCAGGATCTTTTCAAACTTTCCATCGGAGTGGGCTTTGTTTGACACTGTTCTAGCCGCAGAGGAGTGAGAGTCTCTGCCTCGTTGTTCCTGGGTGGGGGGAAAAGTCCAGATTCTCCACTTAGCCTCCTGTGACGTCTGAAGACGGGTGTTCTCTGTGCTGCTGGGCAGGGACAGGAACTCTGACCTCCACTGACACCTCTGGGCTGGAGGGTGCAGGAGCACCATGTCATGCATGGCCTCAGCTGACACCAGAGGGGGGACTGGCCTCCGTCCTCTGGGCGGTTATGACAGCTCTGACCCTTCACCAGTCCGTCTCTGACTACTCTTTATTACTTCCAAGTGGGTGTGGGATTGCAGGCTCCCCAACTTGTCTCCACTGACACTGGAAGGGGAGCACAGTTATTATGTTTAGTGGGGACAAACGTCGGTCTCCCTACTGGGCCCCATCTAACACACAGTGTAGGGTCGGAGGCTGGGATGCACGTCACAGCCGGGTCAGTGGGAGGTCAAGTCTCCTGTGTGCCCTTCATAGCCTGGACAGGGCTGCAGTGGTTTTCCTGTGGTGTTTGGCTAGAGTAGAATCTTATCTGAAAGCTTCTTTTTTTTCCTGTTTGCTCCTTTTCTGGTCCTTTGGAGAGAGGAGGCTTCGTTTTGGGGTTTTCTTTGTCTGTACCATTGGTGTTCCCAGGGGCTTCTCAAGGTCATGTCTGAAATACATCTGGCAAAAAGAATATGGATTCCTTCTCTCTACATGTCAAAGATTCTTTATGCTTTTTATACAGTGTCCACTGTTTGTAGTTGGATTTCATAAGAGGAATAGGGAAAAAGTGTTCCTTCAATCTATAAAGATTAGGAAGCAGGAGTCCCCTTCATTCAGTTTTTAAAGTAAGAGTTTACTAAGTAGGGTGGGTGGCAGAAAAATGGTCCCCCAAATTTATGCACATCCCAATCCATAGAACCTGTGAATATGTTACCTTGTATGGTGGGAGAGATTGCCCAGATGTGATTAAGATAGGGGCCTTCAGATGGGGAGATTATCCTGGGCAGTCTGACTGGGTTCAAAGTAATTGTATGAGTGCTAAAAAGTGGAAAGCCTTTCCCATCTGTAGTCTGGAAAAAGATGTAACGACAGCAGGAGGTCAGCGAGATGAGACTGATGCTGCTGTCTGTGGAGATGAGGGAAGGTTTGCAGGTGGCCTCCAGAAGGTGGAGGGTCAAGCAAAACAGAGTCTCCTGTAGTGCCCCAGAAAGGATACAGCCCTCTCGACTTCTCGGTTTTAGCTCACTGCCACCGTGTCAGAGCTCTAACCTGCAGAACTATGAGACAATAAATTTGTATTGTTTTAAGTGACTGTAATCTGTAGCAATAGAACATTGATTATAGTTGTGTAATTTTCCTATAAAGCAATCATTAAATCAGGCCTTCGACTGGAGACTGGTAATCTTGTTTCAATTTGAACTAAAAAACGTAAAGATACAAATTACCTCGTGAGGTTATCATTGCTTATCTTCTGAAAAACAGGACACTTTTTCCGATGGCTAAGGATTGCAGAATGAGATAGTATGTGTGCATCTTGCAGTGCTTGGTACTAAACAGACATTCAGTGAATGTTTATTGAAGTTGTGAACTGGAGGAAAACAAGTACAAGTGATGAAATGTCATTTTTAAAATCTTTAGAATGTGTGAACCCACTGATGATATTTGGGCATTTTATCACTGCCTCATGTTTGTATTTTATAGACAGTGAGGCTAGTTCTCTGATGGACATAGAAAATGTAATTCTGAACAAGATTCCGGAAGATGAGGTGGACCATTCCGAGGCGATACTGAAACTGGACAGGTTTCGTCAGGACTTGTTCTTCATGGAACGGGTTCTCATGGAAAATATATTTCAGCCAAAACTCGCAGCTTATCGTCAGCTTCCTGTTTTTAAAGGTATTTTAAAAAGATAATCATGTTTAGACAAATTCAAATAATTTTAAACAGCAAATGGTATTGTTATATATTTATGTGATCCCCAGCCCAAGCTGTCATTTATCAGAGGGCGTGTTTTAAAGCTGCTGACTAGATGTGTGAGCAGCAGTAGAGCCCAGGCGAGGAGAGAGCAGGTGAACAAAGTGTCCTGACACCCGGAACCTCATAGCCTCCAGGACCCTCTCTCTCCTTTATTCCTGCTTTAATTAGTTACTTATTTTCACAGTGTCTCTTATACTCAACTCCCTTTTTCTGTTGCCACAGGCTGGCTCTTACCCTCACTCCCTCATTTTCCTGTAGGAACGTGCTTCCTGCTCTCCTGGCCACAGACTCCATCTCATATGATGACAAGAGTATTTTAAAGGAGTTTTAGAGGTTTTCTAATTCAACCCTTCCAGTTTCAGAGTTCACACAGGACTGGAAGACGTTTCTGTTCTGACTATCCAGAGAGAGAGGCCTTGATACACACCTGGGGTGTTTCATGGACATCAAGATGGGTGAGGCCAGGCTAGAGTAAGGGCTGGTCTGCGCAGCCTCAAACTCCAGGCTGATCCAAAAGTAAATTAATTACTTGCTGGAAGAAACTCAAACATTTTTTAAAGAACATTGAACCTTGTAACACTTATAGGCAATGTGAAGTAACAGGAAAAATGTGACCCATAACTACAAGAAAAATCAGTCAATAGCAATAGACAAGAGGATGACACAGATGGTAGAAAAAGCAGACAAAGGCTTTGAAAAGCTCCCGTGCCCAGAGTAGTCAACTCAGTATGAAGCAGACGCACAAACCCAGAGAACTGACCACCACCGGAGTCTGATCTTGGACGAAAGAAGAAATGTAAATAATGGGTGAAAAATAGTTTTTTTCAGCAAATGATGCTAAAAATGAATCTAAACACAGACCTTACACCCTTAACAAAAATGGATGGAGCCAAACTGAAAGGGCGACACACTGTATGATTCCAGCTATGCGACTTTGGCAGAGACAAAACTATGGAGAAGGTGGAAAGATGGGTGGTTTCTGGGGCGAGGAGACGGGGAAGGGTGGGTGGGCAGAGCACAGGGATGTGGGGCCGTGCACGACTCTGCTGCTGCAGTGGCGGGGACACGTCACACAGGCTTGTCAAACCCACAGATGCACAGAACTGGGGTGGGGCTCTGGTGACGAGCACGGTAAGCCAGAAGCAGCAGCGCATGCCTGGGGGTTTCTGAGATTGGTGCCACTGTCTAGGACTTGAAATGCACAGGGATGTTGGTTCCTGCCACACCTCCCTCCAGCTCACGCAGGTGGCTTGTGTGGGAAGTGCACAGTGACAGGAGTATCACCAACGTAACCAGCTGGAGGCTCCAGTTACAACAGCCGTTCCCCGTGAAGTTTCATGAGACAAATTGTGACACCTCCCTTGTACCTGGTGGCAGCTATTGATAAGGCAAAGGCCTTTTTAATTCAATATCTTTAAAAAAAAAAATGAGAAGCCATTCAGTTTCAGCTCCAGGCCATCGATACACCTTCTCTGTCCTACCCCAGGGATGTATCAATTCTTCAGCCCTCTGTCAAAATTTAGTCTATAGGAAACTTTCCCTCCCACAAGACACTGTACTGATCCATCAGATTGATGACATTATGCTTACTGGACGCAGTCAGCAAGAAATAAACTTAGTGATAAGACATTCTCTTGTCAGAGGGTGGGAAGAAAATCTGACAAAATTTCAGGGGGAACTTCTACCACAGTGAAGTTCCTCGGGTCCTGCGTGTGGAGTGGGACACGTCGAGACGCACCTTCTCAGTTGAGGGGTGAGTCGTCACAACTGGCCCCTCATGGCCACTAAAGCAGCAGAATGCCTAGGGGCTTCTCACAGTTTGGAGACAGCACGTTCATCGCCTGGGCGTGCTACACTGTCCCGTTTACTGGTGACTAGAAAGCTGCTGGACTCGAGTGGTTCCCAGAACAGAAGATTGCACAGTCCAGGCTGCTGTGCCGGGTGCCCTGTTGCTGGGGCCATAATCATGCTGACACTCTTGGTGGGAGGTGGGGATGCTGTTGGTGGCATAGAGAACCAGGATCTTTTTTTCTTTTTGCTTTTTCTTTGTTTTCTTTTACATTTTTCCCCCTTTGAGACAGGGTCTTTCTCTGTCGCTCAGGCTGGAGTGCAGTGCCATGACCGTACCTCGCTGCAGCCTCCAACTCCTGGGCTCAAGGGATCCTCCCACCTCAGACTCCCAACTAGCTGGGACTACAGGTGTACAGCACCACATCCAGCTAAGTTTTAAATTGTTTTGTAGAGAGAAGGTCTTACTATGTGGCTCAGGCTGGTCTCGAACTCCTGTGTCAAGTGGTCCTCCCACCTCACCCTCCCCAAGTGCTGGGACTGCGGGGATGAGCTACCATGCCTGGCCGGAATGATCTTTTAATTTAATTTTAGAACGTAAACCTGAAGAAAATAAGAGCTTCTTAGAAAGTAATACAGATGAAGAAGAGGCAGAGGAAGAAGTGAAGAAGGAAGAGGAGGAGGAGACACACAGGGAGGGGTCCACGGTCCCCGCCAACCTGGAGCGGCTCTGGTCCTTCTCCTGCGATGTGACCAAAGGCCTCAATGTGAGCAGCCTCTCCTGGAATAAAGCAAACCCAGTAAGTGTTGACGGTCACGCCTCTACTGTTTAAGGACAGCTATCAAGTTCAAGTGGTGAAAAATATTTTTTTCCTCAGATATGGAGGAAATCTGATTTATTTGATATTTAATGTACCAAACATTGCCATTTTTACTTGAGCAGATCTACCTGGGACATGCATTCTCTGAATTCATGTCAGACACTAAGAAGTGAATAAAACGATAGTGTGTGGTCAGCTCAGGGCCCGCAGTGCAGCGGTTAGAGCGCCAGCCACCCACACCAAGGGTGGCAGGTTCGAATGCAGCCTGGCCCAGCTAAACAACTGCAACAAAAACTGTCCGGGCATTGTGGCTGGCACCTATAGTCCCAGCTACTTGGGAGGCCGAGGCAAGGGAATCCCTTCAGCCCAAGAGTTTGAGGTTGCTGTGAGCTGTGATGCCACAGCACTCTACCGAGTGCAACATAGTAAGACTCTGTCTCAAAAAGAAACAAAAAAGATAGTGTGTGGGTATTTTAACATGAATCAGAACTCATGTATCTGAATCTGTATTCTCCTCTGCATGGTCATATTTGGAAGAATGTGAAAAATAATTGTGAGATTCCTTAAAATACTAACACCACTAATATTAGCAAATGCTTATACCAGCACTGAGTATTATCAGGCACTGTTGTGTTTTACTGATACACAACAACTCTCTGTTAGGGACTGTTATTCTCATCATTATATTGAGAGGAAACTGAAGGCTAAAAAGAACAATTAATTTTCCCAAAGTGTCACAACTAGAAGACAATACAGAATTTAGATCCAGACATCAGGCTCCAGAGTTCTTGCTCTTAAGTGCTACACTGCCAAAAGTCATGTTGACACAGATAAGATGGACCATCATGATGGAGGACGCTGCGTTTGCTTGTAAAAAGATGATTATGGAGTAAGGAGACCGACTTTTTCCTGTGTGTGTGTTTATAAACTGGTTCTAAAGGAGTTTCCCAAATAGTGATTCCAAGAGCCTTTTAGGTAATAGCAGTATCATTGGAATAAATCTTTAGTAGTATACTTTTAAAGTGATGAGACCTAATCTGTTTAAGTTATAGTGTATGTATGTTTAAGAATTAGTCTTACTATTTTATTGCCATGCTTAGCACATATGTGCCAACTTGATAATTTTCATCATTATTAAAAACGTCTATAATTATTAAAAAGACTATAATCATTTTTTGAAACCTAAATAACACATTATTTTATTAATAATCGTGTATTTTTTTTAACAAAATAAAGTACTTTTACCATGGGTTTGTATTTGTAGGACCATATTGGGAACCTCTTGTTGGTAAGTGGGGTAATAGTCTGTAATAAAGACATATGAACGATCTTTAGAAACTGAACATACTGGCATTTTAAAAATTAATATGCTGCTATTGACATTAAGGGAAGTCATTTTGAATGAAGCTAAACACAGACATCTTGTAGACAGTGTCCATAATATTTACTAATTAGTTCTGCAAGTGCTTACTGACCGTTCACCCTGTGCCTGGAACACCGTTAAGGCACTGGGGACACAGAAGTAATTGAGTCACACAAAGACCCCTGCCCATATACAAATGTCCAGTGTACTGTGATGAGGAAACACGTCATGCTGTGGCAACGTGCAAGAGAAGCTCTTGAATGTTTCTAGAGAAAATGATCCCTCTGTGGCCCAGAAGACATGAGTAGGGAGTGCCAGTGCCAGGGTGGGAAGGGTGGTGTTTCTAAGACAGCAGGAGTTACGGAGAGATAGTGTTGGTCAGAACATACGGTGTTGACAGGAAAACACAGTATTTTAAAAATAAAAGTACTCTGATTACAAAGAAGAGGCAGAGTTTCGTCAATCATCGGTTTGTTTTTTATTTCAGGTTAGTATGAGGGTACAAATGATGAGGTTACATTGTGTGCATTTGTTAGGTAAAGTGCAAGGTGTAGTGTGCCCCTCACCCAGGGGCTGTGCCATGTGCCTCTACACTATGGTGCATGAATCTTTTGAAACGTCCTATATTAGTTTCAGCTTGGGCTGCCGTAGATCTCACAGAGTGAGAAGGCTTAAACAATAACAGCAATTTACTCCCCATGGATCTGGAGTCCCTGAAGGCCAAGATGGAGGTGCGACCAACTCAGTTCCTGGTGGGAGCTCTCTGGGCCTGCAGGCTGCTGTGTCCTCCACAGCAGAGACAGACCTCTGGGGTCTCTTTCTCTTCTTATGAAGCCACTAACCCTACTGGAGTAGGGCCCCACCCTTGTGACCTCATTTAACCTCAGTTACCTTCTAAAAGCCCTGCCTCCAAATAGAATCATGTTAGGAGTTACAACTTCAGGATATGAATTGAGGGAAGCAACATGACTCAGTCCATAGCACACACCTTTAACTTAAGTGTCTTTTATTTTACATTTGAAATAATTAAGTCATCTTCAAAGCCCATGAGATAATATAATCATATGATCTTGGGGAATTACCCAATATGTAAAATAACTTCTTACCCATAGGCTCTCTTTAGATTCTTATTCTTCAGTCTGAAAACAAGAACCATGATATTGACTAATTTTATTTGCTTAGGAAAATGGAGGTTTAGAGCAATAACAGATGGTATGCTGAGAGCTAGTTACCCCGTCAGTCAAAATGTCTTTCTGCTATTCTTAACACAGTTCATTAATATATGTCTTTATACATTGGCCAATATTTTCACACCATCTTCTTATTTTAAATGTGTTTTTCTTGTTTTCAGGATCTTCTGGCTGTTGGTTATGGGCACTTTGGATTTAAAGAGCAAAAAAGAGGGCTGGCTTGCTGCTGGTCGATAAAGAATCCCATGGTAAACCAAACAGAAATACGAAGCATGTTTATTTAGTAGCTGGTGACAAAAATTCTCATAAAATACATAACTGTATGTAACAATTAAGCGAATTCATAACAGTTGCAATTTGTTCTTATCAACGTAGGATAGAGAGAATTCCTTTATGAATCCATTCAGCAAATATTTGTTGAGCATATACTACATGCTGTTAGATTTGATGGTGTGTTTGAGCCATTACTGATTATCACAGATAATTATAAACAGAATGCATCTGCAAGTGGAAATCCTTTGAAAATTACATGTTTTTTTAAATGCTTGTTTCTTAACATGCAAATAGCTCCTTATCACCTGATCTCTGCTCTCCTCAACAAATACAGAGCAAAGTTTTCAGTAATCTGAAAACTGTAGATTCAGAGAATGAATAAGAATTACAGTATTTTCTAATTGATGTTGAAATGTCCTAGTCAGTCTTTTACTTTAAACTAGTGAGTTTAGTTTAGTTTACCCATTTAGTTCTAATTCACAACTGAAATGTGAAGTGGAAAACTTAAGGAAAGGGCCAGAAGAGCGTATAAAAATGATTAAAGTCTTTATAAATAGCCCCAGTCTGGCAGGAGGTGATTTTGGTGACATAAAAGAAAGGAAGAGGCAGTTGTAAATGAGGAGGGATTGACAACAGAACTCGCCTCGGGAACTTGTCCTCTTTCATGGGAGTGGTTGGAAGCAGGAGAGGACTTAGATTAGACAATAAAAACAAAACATGAAAACTCTAGATGGGTGGTAGAGCAGAGGACCTAGAGGGCTTTGGTGGTCTATTTATTGTTAAGAGGAAATTAGCCAACAGAGCCCCTGAAACAAGCACTCAGAGGCAGGAATCTGTGCTCCGTGATTTGTTGGTTACCCGTTTTTGGTCAAAAGAAGATAGACATGTGATGATCATGCTGATCTTGCTGAAAGACCATCAAAATACTGTGATTACTGTAGATGCCCTTGCTGTAGTTTTTACACACCCTGAGTGCCAACAATGCGAGGTGAGAACAAGACTAGCTGAAATTCTGTTCTCCCCTACACTGAGCGCTGGGAGGAAGGAAGGACTGAGTGTGGACTGACTCTCTCACACGCCCACTGCCACCAGAAGCCTCTCGGCCACCATCATATCCTGCCCTACGGTAGTCCGCAAAACAAGATGGAAGTTTAACATAGTTATTTTTTTTTATTTAGTGGCCAGAACGTATTTACCCGAGTCCCTTTGGAGTTACTGCTTTGGATTTTTCCATCGGAACACCTAACCTTTTAGCGGTTGGCTACTACAACGGCACAGTTTCCGTTTACAACGTACAGAGCACCGTTAACATCCCAGTCTTGGATACTAGGTAAGGACCCAGGCCTTAGGTAAGTCCATGAGATTTGCTTCTCCAGGAAGATTTACTCTAATATTATTTAGTTTTGAGTAACTGGTTATGTTGTTACTGAGAGCAGTGGCTTTATTTTTGAAACACTTAGTAATTCTTTACATTCTTTTGAGCTGGAAGGCTCTGTCATAATGTCTGCTTGATCTTTGCCCACTTCACCAACAAACTTCTTTTGGCATTTCTTTTAAAGAAACAGTTTATGCTGGGCAGCACCTGTGGCTCAAAGGAGTAGGTGCCAGCCCCATATACTAGAGGTGGCAGGTTCAAACCCAGCCCCAGCAAAAAAAAAAGACCTACAAAAACCAATTTATGCTTGTCTTGAGTTATCACGTTGCTGTCATCTTCTGTAGGGAATCTTCCCTATTGAGCCTTCGTGTGCCTGCACCATGGCACTGTCACCCCGCACATCAACTATGTCTCTGAGGTCTGACAGTTGAGTTCACAGACTTGCCCCAGTGCACTGACGTTGGGGACACTGCACACAGCTCAGTAAGGTCTCACAACCTGAGTGTATGTCAGTGTCTCACAGTTTCATTCATACTGATGTGTGGCAGCATCTTGCTGAGGGGCGTTCATTATTGTTGTGTGTTTTTGTGAGCCATCTCCAGAATGTCAGATCCTGAACTAGAGCAATAAGCAAACATTCATAAATTTCTCATTACACTTGGAAGAGAGGAAGCAAAATCAGGGACATGTTGGTCTAAGTTTATGGAAATGATGGCATGAAGAAGACAGCAGGGTACAAAAATTTAACATTTTTCTGAGGGGAGAGAATGTCACTGATGTAGAAAGATCAGGGCAGCAAGTAATGAGCAGAACTAACAAAAACATGGCAAAAATTCATCAAATTGTGCATCAAAATCATTGGCTGACTGTGAGAAGCACAGCAGATTGTGCTCAAGAGAAACAGGAAAATCTTAACTGAAAATCTTGGCCAACAACTCATGGCTCTTGCACCACGACAGTGCTCCTGCTCACACAGCACCATCTGTGAGGGATTTTTTTAGCCAGTAAACAGATAACTGTATTGAAGCACCCTCCGTACTCTCCTGATCTGGCCCTGAAAATAAAGGAAATAGTAGAAAGGAAGACATTTTGATGACATTCAGGACATCAAGGGTAGTAATATGATGACAGTTTTGATTCTAGAAAAAGAGTTCTAAAATTTCTTTGAAGAGTGGGCTAGGTGCTAGCGTGGGTGCATGGCTTCCCAAGGGGAGAGCTTTGTTGACCACAGTGATAGTCAACAACAAAGGACATAGCACTTTATCTAGGCTGAGTTTGTGAACTCAACTGTCAGACCTCATTGATCTTCCTGAGCAGAGTGTAAGCTTCTTAAGAGCAAGGGTCAACTCTTACCTTTGTTCCTCCGTGGGTCACACAGTTTTGCCATGTAGCCTGAGCACAATAAATGTTTGAAGAATAATGAATGAATGAATGAATGGGTTATATATTAAAAAAATCAAAAGATTAAAGGCGAAAGGTATTCAAATAGATTAGGGTTTTTTAATGAGCAAGATAACCAGTGGGTCTAAAATGAAGTGGTTGATATGTTTGTATCCGTGTTTGAATAAACTAAGCTGGAACATGAAATAGTCATTAATGCAGGTTCTTAGCCTTAACCTGGAATCATCTGCAGTTTTGTAAGCATGGGCTTTCATGCTTGTTTCTGGAAAGAGGGTCAGAATTTTTACCAAATAATCAAAGGCATCCATGATTTTCAAAATGTTCAGAACTATTGCACTAGAGGTTTGTATAAAAAGTCAAGGAGTTCAAAACGGAAACTGCACTAATCTGAGAGGAAAGAATTAATAATCTGATAAGTGATTTTCATTTTTCAGAAAAAATTTAAATCTCTATCCACAGAATCAATCCAGGAAGAAGTTTGGAAATAAAAGATGTTTACCTAAATAAGATTTAAAATGACTGATTGACTTAAGCCATGAAAAAGTCTTTCTAAAAATGAAAACATTTATATTCCATGTATCTAAAATAAAGTAAAATTATGGAGTTTGTTTGTTGGGTGATGGTTGCAGAACTCTGAATTGACACAACTAAACTAAGAGAGAGTGGACGGAATAAGAAAGTAGATTCTGAAATAAATAAAATATCTGCTTTTGTGTTCCAGTTATGATAGCTAATATAATTAAGGGCGGTCAAACTTCCCTTTTGTAAGAAGCAAGAACAACAGCCGTGAATATTAGGTGGCAGATTGATTGTCTTTCCTATTTTTCAAAATATTTAAAGTAGGAGTCCAGTTTTGATCAACAAAAGCATCATTATTTAAGTAGATTTTGACCCTCTAGGGATCCGTCCTTACCACTTACACGCTAAGGCCTTTAAACACTCATTCTGATGATTCCATATTGATTATTGCTCCCTGACTCAGTGAATCACCTCAGAAGCATCTGGGACCCATATGGCAACTACAGTGGATAGAACAAGATCGAGGCACCACGGGTGATGACAAGAGAGAAATATTAGTTTCTATCTCCGCGGACGGGAGAATCTGCAAATGGGTGATACGCAAAGGACTGGACTGTCACGGTAACAAAAACAAAAAAATCAAATTATCTTGTTCTTGCCCTGCCCTGCGTTGATTTAGACATTCCCGGTGGGCTGCGTGTGGAAGCTGACAAATTTTGAGTTGGCCAGTAAGGAAGAAGCACACTAGCCTCGGTCACTGTTGTTCTAGGCATCTAGTTGTAGTACTTGCTAACCTTACCTCATAAAAGACGGCAGGAATGAGAATACAGTCTGCAGGAGACACACGTGGTATCTGCAGTATTTTTTCATGTGGTAAATAAAAAGTCATATATTTTGTTTCTTTAAGATTTGATGCATTTAAAGCGAACCGCTGCTGGCAGCAACAGAAAAGGCTCAGACAAGGAGAAGAAGGGCGAGGCGGCCCTGATATCCCGGCAGGCTCCGGGGATGTGCTTTGCTTTCCACCCCAAGGTACATGATTAACAGTTCAATCCATTACTTGCTACTGCACATGACAGTTTTCAAAACCTGATGTGTATTGAGATATAAAACAAGACCAAATGTCAGCAATGTTAATGACCTCTGTGCCTGATACGTTGTCTGGGGCCGGGGGTGCCGGAGGTGGGAGTGGGAGGAGCAATGGGGTGTCTGCTTGGGACTAAGCAGGTTCTTTTTTGGGTGATGATTGCAGAACTCTGACAAAACTAAAACATTGGATTGTGTACTTAACATGGGTGAATTGTATCCCAATAAAGCTAGTTTTTATTTTAAAAAAGTATGCTTTATAAGCAAAAACATAAACAGCTGTAGTTGCCCACCTAAGGGACAGTAGGGGTTCCTACGGGGAGAGGGGTCCCATTGGCTTTCCTGACTTTCATCCGCTTTTCCAGATAGATGAAAGGCACATATTCCCAAGGAGGAATTCTCTTTACAACTTCATGGTAAACTTGAAAAATTAAACTTCCCTCTCCTTGGCCCCTTGGCTGTTCTGTGGCTCCGTTACACTGGCAGAAACCTGAACCAGGACAGCCAGCCGTCCACATTCTACCAGGTCCTCGGAGTTGTCAAGATCAGAATTAGATCAGAGCACAGCCACTGAAGTTCTACTTTTTCTAATTCTTTTAGCCTAGAGGTACTTTGGAATCAGAAAATTCGGCCATTATGACAGACTTTTAAGAAGACGCATCTCATGTTTTTTGTTACACGCAACATGATCGTGTCGCTCATGACACCGTCATTCACCCCAGGACCCAAACCAGAACTCTCCAGCCCCTTCTCCCTTCTGCTCTGTTATCCAAATGATGCTTAAGTCTTGTCAGACCTTTGCTTCTAGTCCAAGCCTTCTGCGGCTAATATAATCCAAGCCCTTATTATTTAATTACTTCAGCCATCTGCTAACTGCTTTTGCTGTCAAATTCCTATAATCCACCTTCACTTTGACTCTAGAAAAGTAGTTCTCAGTGTGGTCAGGGGCAGGGGATAGGTTTGCTCACTGTGTCTCACAGTGGACGAACAGCCACTGCCACCTTGCTCCCCCACAGCCCCCAACAAAGAATTATATCCAGAATGCCGATCATGCTGAGATGGGGAAACAGCCTGGTGTTCTAGAAACATCCTTGGACGTGAGGGAGCTTGCTATTACCTCACCGTCTCCTGCACTGCTGGGGCCACTGTCAAGCAGCTCGAATGTTGGAACGTTCCTTCATCGGTTTAAATCAAAATTTTCTATGTAATTTCTCGACTAGGTATTAAATACTACCCTCTATTCTAGCAAAGGACAAGACGGTATTTTCCTTTGCATAGTGATCTTCAGGTAGAATAAAAAGGCGAAGCCACCCGAATCCCAGGTGGTGTCTCTGGTTTGGGCTCTTGCCATGATGTGAGAGGTCCTGATTTGTCTAACCTTTTATTCAGCACACCTGCTAATACGCACTTTGCTCTCTCCTGTTGCAGGACACAAATATCTATTTGGCTGGCACTGAAGAAGGTCATATTCACAAATGTTCTTGTTCATATAATGAACAATACCTAGATACCTATAGAGGGCATAAGGTTAGTTTAATTATAATAGGTATGGAAAGTTTAATTTATCTTGTAGTATTTCTGAAAAAATCATATCATTAATATTATATTCAACCTACAAATAAATTTAAAACTTCAGAGTTATGACAACAATGCCAGCTTGAAGTAGGTGTTTTCTTCCATGGAAGCCACCAGTAAGGTGTGGGCATTTTATCTTTTAAATATCCTGGATTTCTTTTTGCAAGTTCTGGAAGTCATAATTTTTATTTATTTCTAAAAGACTTTGCTTATCTCAAAGTAAAATTGTCTCTTGTTCATGCCTGTTTTTTCTTTTTTTAAGAGCCACGAGTCTTGCTACATTGCCCACATGCCCTTGATCTGGGCTCGAGGGGTCCTCTCCCTCAGCGTCCCACCTAGTGGGCCTATAGGCGCGTGCACTGTATCTTTTTATGATTGTGCCATTAATTTTATTTATTTTTCTCTCTCATTCCCTTTCTTCTTCTTTTCTTTTTTTTTTTTTTGTCGAGACAGAGTCCCACCCTGTGCCCCTGAGCAGAGTGCAGCGGCTTGGTAGTTCACTGCAACCTCCGTCCTGGCTTGTGGGCATCCCGCTGTCTCAGCCTCCAGAAGCCGCTGGGATTACAGGCGCTCGCCGCGGCGCCCGGCTGGGTTTTTCCATTTTTTTCATGAGTCGGGGTCTCACTTTCGCTCAGGCGAGTCTCGAACTCCTGAGCTCCAGCGATTCTCCCTCCTCAGCCTCCCACAGTGCTGGGATTACAGGCGTGAGCCACCGCGCCCGGCATTCCCTTTCTTCTTAATGTTTTCTATTATTTAAAAATAAGGATGTATAATAACATACTAATACTTACTGAATATTGTAGCACCCATTTTTTATGTCTCAATATGGAGTAATGTACAAAAGATTGAATTTATCATCTTACTCTCAGCTATAACACCACCCACACATGGATGGTGCGGGTGTGGGGGCTCATGCCTGTAATCTTAGACTTTGGGAGACCAAGATGGGAAGATGGCTTGAAGACAGGAGTTCACAAGCAGGCTGGGCAACATAGGGAGACCCCATCTGTACAACAAATAAAAAATTTAGGCAGGCATCAGGACCGTTGCCTGTAGTTCCAGCTACTCAGAATGCTGAGCCAGGAGGATCATTTGTGCCCAGGAGGCTGAGGTTGCCATGAATTATGATGGTACCACTGCACTCTACCCTGGGCAACAGAGCAAGACCCTATCTCAAAGTTAAAATGCAATGCAATGAAATAAAATAATAAAATAAAAGGCAGAGTAATCCTTTAGAAATCTTAGTATGTTTAATTTGCTGGTTGAATTTAAAATATAAGATGTTAAATATTATCTACCTAAGTGTTTTTTGTTTTTTTTTTCACTTCTAGGGTCCAGTATATAAAGTAACTTGGAACCCGTTTTGTCCTGATGTGTTTCTAAGCTGCTCTGCAGACTGGGGTGTCATAATATGGCAGCAGGAGAACACCAGGCCATTTTTGACTTTTTACCCAACTACTCACGTAGTTTACGATGTTGCCTGGTCTCCAAAGTCCTCCTATATATTTGCAGCAGCAAATGAAAGTAGAGTGGAGATTTGGGACCTTCACATCAGCACGTAAGTGTTAATATTTTTCCTGGGGACATTTCTAGTAGAAGCAATTCAAACGAAATGGCACCTGATCACTTTTGGCATCAGTTAGAGAGTGTTATAGTTACTTAAAAAGATGCAATAGTTTATATTAGGAGAGTCCATGAAAAATATACATGCGGGGATGCTGTATTAATGTTAATTACTTACACCATATGTAATTTTAAAATGTCTGAGTGAAAATAATTTACATCTTCTCAAACTTTTACAGGGAGCTATCTTATAAATTCTGGAATTCTTGAATTCTAACTGCCTGGTTTATGGAGGAATAAAAGAAGGCATGATTATATTCTTAACTAAGGATTCTCTACAATAGATAAAGAAAGGGGACAAAATAATTATTTTTGCAATATTATTCTCTCACCTCATTTGAAAACATATTCAAAGGGATATGAACGTAATTAAAATGAGAGATTTAAGATGTCACACCAAGGTTAGGGAGGATCATCTCAAGGCAAGCATGCTTCTTAATGGGACATTTTCACAATGCCAACATAAAATATTAAATGACCTTACTCAGCTGGAAAATACCATAGGTCTTTATACTAGTTATTAGCAGAAGGAGCTGGAAAATATATTCTGGTTTAAAATAAATGGCATAAAATTCAATGGGTTTATTCTTCATGGTAAAATTTTTTCCTAGAAGTTAATCATTCAGTAACTTTAAATTTTTGTCATGGCTTGTTCTATAATATAATATTAACTAAAAAATCAAGGATTACGTCACAAAACAATGTAGTTTTTAGTATAAGATGACTGACGCATAAAATGGCTACTTAATCCCAACTCTGATTTTAATTTTTCTGAAAAAACTGTAGTTCCCAGAACAATGCTTCTTTAAAAGAACAGTGTACAAAGTTGCTACTTCTGTTCTTTTTTGAGGGCGTTAGCTGGATTGCTTTAGATGAGCAAGATTTAGAAAGTCCTTGTTCAGAATGCACATTTGTGTTCTACAGCATCATTTGAATCAAAACATTCTGCTGTTAAAAGGCAGTGATTATTTAAGAAGTTGTGTTTGTCAGGGTTTTCCAGAGAAACACAAACAATAGTATGATTCTGTTTATCTATCTAGAATCTGTATTTATTGTCAGTGTCTATATGTAGGGAGTTTTATTTTAAGAAATTGGCTCACATGATTGGAGGTCCTGAAAGTCTGAAGTCTTCGGGCATCTTGAACCTCCACCAGATCCTGCTGCAGTCTTGAGACCAAAGGCCTCACGCAGGCAGAACACCATTCCACTTTGGGCAACCTCAGTCTTTTCTCTTAAGGCCGTCACCTAATTGGGTGCAGCCTAGCCATACTGAGAAGGGTAGTCGTCTGTATTCAAATTTTACTGATTTAAATGTTAAGCCCATCTAAAAAAATACCCTCACAGCAATGTGTAGACTAGCATGTGGCTGAACCACAGAGGCACCGTAGGCTACGAGCTGACAGAAAACCAGCCGTCACCAAGCTCATAAGCTTACTTACATCTTAGCTGTGAGTCGCTTGAATTTACCTGGTTGAATTTACTGCATTGAAAAAATGGAGGTAAGTAAGGAATGAGAAGTAGTTATTTTGAGTTTGGAAACACTTAAAGTGGATTTGGGGTTTTGTTATATGAAGTAAAAAAGAAACCTCAAACTTGCCTTTGTCTGTATATTAAAATGCCCTTATTAATATAACTGAGTTCTGACTCTGCGCCCGTACAATGGTTATGGCACTGGCCACCTACACCAAGGCTGTTGGGTTCGAACCCAGCCCAGGCAGCTAAACAACAATGGCAACTGCAACAAAAAAATAGCCGGGCTTTGTGGCGGGTGCCTGTAGTCCCAGCTACTTGGGAGGCTGAGGCAAAGGAATCTGTTAAGCCCAAGAGTTTGAGGTTGCCCTGAGCTGTGACGCCACAGCACTCTACTGAGGGCGGTATAGTGAGACTCAGTCTCAGAAAAATAAAGAAAGAAAGAACTGAATTCACAAATAAAATATTTCATTACAGTTTGGATCCTCTGATTGTGAACGTTGCTAATCCTGGAATCAAGTTCACAACCGTCCTCTTTGCCAAGGAAACAGATTGCCTCCTGGTGGGGGACAGTGACGGCCAAGTTGCTGTGTATGAACTGAGAAATATGCCTGTTGCTCTGGATTCTGGCCGGGTAAGACACAAAAGTAAAAACACTTTGTCATTCTGTAAGTCCGTGCAGTTGTACTTTTGTAGCCTGTGAAGGATTCAACTTCTTATGCATCTTCAGCAGTGCGTCCTTTTGATCACAAGTGCCCCAGAGTGGCCACCTACAAGGCAGGGCACCTGCTGGGCTGAGTCTCTTCCAGCCACACTTTCCTTATCTGTGACTAGTGAGAATAACTGTTCCTGAGCATAATAATTAGAAACACTATATGGAATAACTTAATTGTACCTAGTTGTAGTTGGGACTTCGTGATATCTGTATAAATTGAAGACATTTTCTTTGTACTGCCATGTATATACAAAGATTTTTACATGAAATAATCATATTTTTCAGTACTGTCCAGTGTTCCTGAAGACAAGCATTTTTTTTTTTTTAAGACGGAGCCTCAAGCTATCCCTCTGGGTAGAGTGCCATGGCATCACGCTCACAGCAACCTCCAACTCCTGGGCTCAAGCGAGTCTCCTGCCTCAGCCTCCCAAGTAGCTGGGACTTCAGGCACCCGCCACAACGCCTGGCCATTTTTTGGTTGCAGCCATCATTGTTGTTTGGCGGGCCTGGGCTGGGGATTCGAACCCGCCACCTTAGGTGTATGTGGCTGGCGCCTTAGCCGCTTGAGCCACAGGCGCCGAGCCAAGACAAGCATTTTTGATGGCATCATTCTGTTCTCTTACTCTGATGTGCAAACATAAAAGTTTTGTTGCCAAACTTTGACAAGCAACTCATTATAATTAGATGCCTATTATTATAAAAATAGCTTTTCAAGTTTTTCTTTGTTTCTTATATTTAAATTGCCATTGCAAGCAATAATGTTGTGAATATGACCACAAATATTATCAACATGTTAAAAACATTAAAAATATGCACAAATCACTAAGAAAAAACACCAGATTTCAGGAGAAGAATTGGCAAGGGTGAGGAGCAGATCATTAACAAAAAGCGACTAGTAAATATATTTTAAAATCCAACTCTGCTAGTAACTAAAAAAGTAAAAGTACTGTTAAATGGAATTTGATAGCATTCTCATATATCTCATTAAAAATATTTTATTAAAAACATTAAGAAAAGGTTGTTAGAAAAGTTAAATGAGTCAGTAGGTCCAGCACAATCACCATCTTCCTGCACTTAGTGACGCTCTCAGGCTCTTCCTCTAAAACCACTAAAGTTTTCTATTCAGGATTTTGTACCTCAAGTTAAAAGTAACAGATTGGAAGAAGAGATTTCCAATATATAAAACAGACATTTAATATCTAGTATATATAAAAAAACTTTAATAAAACAATCAGAAAAAGTCAAACAACTCAATTTTTTAAATGGGAAAATATATCAAATAGGAATTCACAGAAGAGGAAACTGGAATATCAGATAAACTTCTGAAGCAACACTCATCACTAGTAATGAGGAAATATGCTATTATAATAAAATTATGGAAGACACTAGTTCACACTAATTGGATTTGCAAAAATTAAAATATCAAATACTAGCAGAGTTGTAGGGAATTAGGAACTCCCTAAAAGTTCCCTATTCTCATAAGAATATAAATTATAGTAGCCTCTTTGGAGAGCATTTCAATAAAACAGAAGTTCAAATGCCATGTAAGTATAGAAAATCACACGTTACACGTGTGCCCCAGAAGACATGAGTAAGATGTCAACATGTTTTTCTGTATTTCTTATTTCTAATGTTCTGTAAGGTAGTCTTTATACATAGGAAAGATTACTCTGTCTACTTTGACTTAAAACATTTATATTCAAATGGTATAACATGAAAAAGATAGCTCACCCTAAGTTTTCACATTTAGATTATATGTTACTTTTCTGTTCATAGTCTAGCAGATTTTAATGTATACTATTAAGTATTTGCAAGTTAAAATTTAAAAAATATTTTAAGTCTCATTTATTAAGTTTAGTATATTAGATTTTTAAGTACCTTAGATCTCAGATACTTAAGGAATTCATATTAATTTCATAAATTAATAATTTTAAATGTGATGAATCAAATTTTCTTAAATGTTCCAGTGCTATTTATAAATCAGTAAGAGTTCAATCTATGATCACAACTCTACATAAATTACACATTAATGGAAGAATCAGATGTTTATCTGACAATCTAATATGGTAAATTCTCTTCTATGTAATGAATATTTAAAATGTACAAATTCTTTAATGCAGAGAATATTAAACTTGCCTGTTTGATTCGATGCACGGTTGCCCTTCATAATGCTTATTCTTCTAAGCACAAAAAGGAACAACATCATAAGTACTTTTGGAGATTATTTTCTCAACTGATTGAGATGCATAATGATTCCTTAGATTTTAGCTAAGGAATGAGCTCTGAAGCCTTGGCCATTTTAAGAGGACTTTCTTATCTACCTTCACCACCCAGCTGAGCCCTCTTTTACAGAAGACTTGCTGGTGTGCTCCAGATAGGACTGTCTCATGGCCCACGTCCCCAAAGTCTAGTTTCATAGGACCCCAGCCCCCCACTTGTCAGGGACGTCGGCAGCCCTGCCTGTCACTGCCCGCCTTGATTTACTCCGTTTATTTACTGGGTCCTTAAGTTCTAAATTGTTATAGCTTCCCTATCCCACAGGACCACCACCCTGATAGATGTTTAAATGATAGATCTGAGCCTGTCTTTTTAGGGCTTTGTTTAACTTGTTGGTAACTGTGTAGACAAACATGCTAATGAGAAGGCAGTGTCATAGTGGTCTTGTTTATGTGTTGATAAGTCGGAAACAAACTAATGGTCATCAGGGGACGACTGGATAAATAAAGTCCGGCCTTTTCACATGTGTGACTCCATTGAGTAAGTCTAAAAACACAATGTTAAATGAGAAAAAGCAAATTTCAGGAAGGTAAGTACAATATGCTACAATTTATGTAGCTAAAACTTCTGACAGAAGTGTATTTCAAGATTCGAGATGACAGACAGAATGTGCCGACATCCAGACGCTTTGCAGTAGAAGCACAGGTGGCCCCGGGCAGTGGCCCCTACGGGTCATCCTAGCACTTTGGAAGGACTGCTGGAGCTCAGGTAGTTTAAGACCAGCCTGAACAAGAGACCCCTGCTTTTCCTAAAAATGGAAAAATTAGCCAGTCTTTGTGGCGGGCGTCTGTAGTCCTGGCTACCCAGTACTCAGGAAGCTGAGTCAAGAGGATCGCTGGAGCCTGGGAGGTTGAGGTTGCTGTGAGCTATGACGCCATGGCATTCTACCCAGGGCGACAGACAGACTGTCTCAAAATAAAAAAAATAAAAGGTATCATTAAGTTTAACAGGTATCTACAAATGAGAAAGCTCAGGTCTAAGCATTACGGCTAAAGCGGAGCTGCCAAAATTGTCCTCTTCCTGGGTCCTTATAAAATTATTTATCGAACTTCATTAAAAGAGCCTTCCTGGGCAGAGCAGGTTTACCCCGAGCGACTGTCACTGTTTGAACTTGCCTTTGTTTGTTTCCTTTTTATCGGTCTTGCTCGGTGCCCTTTATAAGTGGATCACTGACTTAGAACTTTTACACGGTGTTTTAAAGACTACTCTGCCTTTTAATTTTTATTTTATTGCATTATAATTTTGTGACTTCTTTCCTTTCTAGGGAGATGTGATTAATGCAGTGCTTGGATCCAAGTCAAACTAGCCAGGATGATTCCTCATTCCTAGCGCCTTTTTTGTGGTTGTGTTTAATATTCAATAGTCTACATTGTGTAGCTTCCACTTAGTTTGGCATAAACTTGATGAACTTCTTTTTAGAGATACTTGATTAGTTTGCAATCTAAGCTAAAAGTTATTCTAATTAAGAGTGAGTTTTGTTAGAATTTTAAAAATTTTTCTGAGGATATTCCCACTGTTTGGTCGTATACCAAGTCCATGTAAGCACATATATGTAGCTATGGAATGTTCAAATAGGCTAGAAAATGATTATTCCTTTAGAAGGAAAACTTAGAAACTGTTACTTAAACTGAAATCTTCATAAGACAAAATTCCATTGACTTTTAAAACTTGTGCTCTCCAAGCTGTTTTCCAGGTTCTTAATCATGCCTTTTGCTAGCATGATGAGAACAGGAGATTTTCATCCCCAACTTTGAATCAGAATTTCGTCCTACATCTGAGAGCTGGAGCTCTATCACTTCCTTAGACAATCTGACAGGCAAAAGACACGGCAGCAATACCAGAACCGTATTGTCTGGCCAGTGGGCATCACATTCCCAATTCAAAGAGAAAAGTAACTCTGGGACACATCAGGGTACCCCCGCCCCGCAACGTGCCTAGAATCTGCTCTGGATTTTAAACCCAAATGAAGTGGACACAGAGAGGAAACAGGTCTCTGATTCCTAGGCCATATCAGGATGTTATTGTATGAAAGGTTCTGAGTAAAGCTGTGAGATGGAGGTGAGGCTGTGGGATGCAGATGGTGACCACCTATCCGTGCGGCTCACCTCCCTCCCTGCCTGAGTCCTGAGTTTGTTAACTGAGACTGCAGGATGCTGCCGCCTAGTCTGCAGAGCACTGAGCAGGGAGGGTGGGCTGGAGTGGATGACAGGCACTAAACTCTCTGGGAAAACACGCATATGTTACAAACCGAGAATGGAATCAGTGCGGTAATAACGGAAACCACCTCTCACTGCTGCTTCACAGTCTCCATTTCTTTGGAGCCCACCTTTAAACAAGGGCAAGGCAAGTTTTAGATGGATTTTGAGCTTAGATCAGGTTACAAGGTCATTTATTTCCTAGGGGTATGAGTCATTGTGATTATCTCTGTCTCTGTCTTTCTGAAAGATTGGACTTTCCATATTTTGTGTAAGAAAGTAAAAACCTGACTTAATTGAAAAACCTGTGTTCCTTTTTTATGTATTGTTTTTATTTATTTATTTATTTCTGCCAGAGATAGAGTCTCACAATATTGGTCAGGCTGGTCTCGAACTCCTCGCCTCCACCAGTCCTCCCACTTCAGCCTCCATAAATGCTAGGATCATAGGCATGAGCAACCATGCCTTGTTATGGGTATGTTATTTTTGATCTTTAAATTTTTTTCACATATTAGGGCGGCGCCTGTGGCTCAGTGAGTAGGGTGCCGCCCCATGTACAGAGGGTGGTGGGTTCCAACCCGGCCTTGGCCAAACGGCAAAAACAACAACAACAGAAACTAGCCAGGTGTTGTGGTGGGCACCTGTAGTCCCAGGTACTCAGGAGGCTGAGGCAGGAGAATCACCTAAGCCCAGGAGTTGGAGGTTGCTGTGGGCTGAGACGCCACAGCACTCTACCGAGGGCAACACAATAAGACTCTGTCTCTGGAAAAAAAAAAATCACATATTTTCCTCTCACATTTGTCAAACCTACATGAGAAATAAAACTATTCTTGAATCTTGGGCAACAGGCCAGACAGTGCTGACCCCCCCATTCTACCCCCTCTCCCTGAAGTCCTAATGATCCTCACCTGGTTTTAAATTTACATCACATATTCACCCAAACATCTTTTACCTGGGAACTTCAGAAGGAATTGATTTCCTTGGTTTATAGACAGGCTTTCAATCCTTACTAGCAAATTCTATTTGCTGCTATTTTTACCAAATTGAATGAGATTTGATTCAGTCATTAGCCATGTGTTGTTATCCTTGAACACACGCACACACCCCAGGGTGCTGGTCAGGGACCTGGGGGGGACTGGGGACTCTGCAGACTTTAGGCTCCTGTTCTGTGTCAGGAACTCGTGACTTCATTTGGTGATTTTCTACCAGATGTCGTGCATACAGGACTTACATTATTGTTGCCTGAGGTAAGAAAGGAAGGTTGTATTCACTACTGTAGATCTGTGTATCGTAGGGTCTACCAAAGGATTCACCTCTGTGTCGTTACTTAAAACTGTAAGTGAAAAAGTAGCACACTGGTCTCAATGGGAGACTCTCTAAAAGGAAACGCTGGATTGTCCTGTCAATCTGTTTAGTTATCGATGTGCTGGTAATAAGGCCACTTGGGTGCAGTGCACACTTGTAACTTTGACTTAAAATGTACAAATGAAAATCATATAACCAAAACATACATGTCCCTATAATATTGTGCAAAACAAAAATTCTTTGCCCATTTGCAAAACACTTTCACGTCCGTTATCCTAGTGCGTCCTCACAGCAATCCCGAGACTGCTGGGTTACACAGCTGTAATATTGTCATAGTATCTTCCAGACCATATAGTGAAGGCTGGGAGAGTTGACACCCCAGAGACCATACAGCTGGTACCAGGTCAGCCTGAAGCTTTCCGGGGGGCCCGACCTGTTTTCTTGTCCGCATTGGAAGAAGAGCTGTCTCGGGCCACCCAGTAAACACACACACACACCAATGAAAGCGGCTGAGCAGACAGTCTGTGCGTACTGTTCACGACCTCTAGCTCACAGATGAGCAAAACGGTCCTGAAACAATCACCCTGCAGACCTCGGGCCACAGACTGGACACCCCTGCACATTTAAAGAGTGTTTATACACATCCTGGTATCGTGTGGTGAATGGTTAGTGCCCTGTAAAGCGTTAGTAGGCATCGTTTTTTATAATTAAGGCTTTATCCTAAATGACAGTGCTCGTGGACTTGGTGTTTCTAGGTATTCTCCGGGGGCCTCGTGTCCCTTCTGTTAGGTACATCTTCCTCCCTCTCCAGCCTGTTAATGCTTGCTCAGCTCATCCTCACCTTCCCAGAAGAGCCCTCCTGAGCTCCCTGAGTCCTCCCAACCAGCCACACTGAACTTGGCTTTCTGCGTTGTCCAGCCACCGTGGAGTTCCCTGATAGCACTCTTTCAGATCACATTTAGAGATTTATGTTTTCATCCTTATTTTTCATTACCTCTTCTCTCAAATTGGCAGCTCTGTGCTCATTAGGAGACACATAGAGTGATAATAAATCAGTGACTTTTGTTTTACAAAAGCATAAGACTTAGGAAAGACATTCAGGACACAGACCAGACATCTTGAACATAAAGTGTGAAGTTTCCTTGGGTGTGGGGGGACGAGGAAGAGAAGGGGCTCAGGGTCCCCAGCGCAGAGCAGACCCCTGTCCTGATTCTAGAATGCAATTTCTGGGAACTAGGACTTGAACTCAGCTTTGAAAACCATCCCCATCCCGTGAGTGCCGTGCAGCAGTGGTGAAGAACCGCTGGGACTGAAGAGTCCGGGCAGCCAAGGGGCCCCAACTCTGATGACAGAAGGACCTTGGCAGGGAGTGAGATGCTGTAGGGACGTCAAGGGAGTGACTTTGGGGGGAGGGAGACCAAGCCTGTGGAGCACCAGCTTACTCAGTGTGTTGTTTATTTCCACCAGCTGAGCGGGAGGGAGCCGCGTGGTCAGGAACCAGCAGAGTCCTGGAGATCTCATGTCTCCATCAGATCGCGGAGTCCCAGAGACTCGCAGCTCCCACGCGGGCACCTGCCATGCTGTGTGCTCAGCGCCCCCTCCTCCGGCCTGGGGCCCCCAGGGCAGGGACAGCGTGTCGTGTGGTTCCCGGCAACTAAACAGAATAGTGATGTGACAAACACATTTGAATAAGTGATCAAATTAACAGGAAATGACTTCATCCTCGTCTCCTATCATGAGATGGTCCACTATTATAAATTTAATTTCCCCAGCATATTAAAAAAATCTTAATATTATAGAGGGTAAAACACTGTGCCTATGGCAAACATACAGAACTTTGAATTAGTCTGGAAAGTTCACATAGCCATTGATTTGTTTGTCCTAAAACAATATAAAATCAATGTTTCCCCTCAAGACAAAACTAAAACAACTAATGGGCGGCCCCTTTCTTTTGGTGAGTGTTGCGGCTACTTCGTGAGCCTGGTTCCCACCAGCCATTTGGGGACAGTGTGTCTCCCAGGTGAAGCACTGGCCTCATGCCTGGTCCACAGCAGGCACTGGATGGCTGCAGCTCTCCCTGTGATGGCCCCAGAGCCACGTCCACACACCAGCCCGGCACCTCCTGTCCTTTGTGGGGCACTGGGTCCCCGCCAGGCCGACTCCTCTTGCCGACTGTGCTCCTGACTCCGTTTTTCCCTTACACGATATTGAGGCTTTGTGTCTTGTTTGTTCAGGATTTTGTACCACATTCAGATCCACCTTCAGATCCATAGAACATTTACTAGCCTATTAACCTTCCTTTTCTTAGGTTAACATACCATTTGTAGATAAAACTAAAAGGCTGACAGTTTACAGGAAACTAATTTCTGGGTTAAATAGAAAGTGCAACATGTCCATTAAGTTGGAACACAAACAATGTTATTATGAATCTTATAAAAATGAGCACTGCTTTTTATAAATGGACGACATTTATGTAGCATCCAGAGCAAGTCATGAAAAATGTACTTTCCCCACATCTGTACTTTCTCTGAGTCAGTCAACTATTAAAAGATATGTCGTCACTTTACCAGGAGGAAAAAAGGGCCCAGGACATTTGAGGGGTTTTCCGTCAGAACTCATTGATCATACTTGTACTGAATGTTCTACATTGATAACATATTTCATTTATTCATTGAGTCTTTATTTCTAAAAACTCAAGCAACAACAAGAACACAGAGTGCTTTACACAGCAACATTTTCTAAGATAAATTTTAAAAACGTTTCACTCGCTAATCTTATTTTGAGTGTATCTATTTTGCATGTCTTCCCAGCTTTCCTGAGGTATAGTTGACAAATAAAATTCAGATGTATGACGGGATGATTTTACATACGCACGCATTGTGAAGTGGTTATGAGGAGGTGGGCTTTGGGGGGAGGTGAGTAGCTTTGGGAAGCCAGCCCTCATACATGGATTAGTGGCCTTGTAGGAGACCCTGGAGAACTAGTGCCCTTCCACCGCGTGAGGACACAGCAGGAGGGTGACAGCTTGCAGCCCTAAGAGGGCTATCCCCCCATTGACCGTGCTGGCCCCGTCATATTGGGCTGCCCAGCCTCCAGAATGTCTATTGTTAGAAGCTACTCAGTCTCTTGTGTTTTGTTAGAGCCGCCCCCAAATGGACTAGGACACACGCTAAAAGCACACAGACAGTAAACTGAGTTACAGACTAGATGAGAAAGAAGTGTCATGTCAACCTCCACACAGAAAGGATGGAGTGGGCTCGGTGCCCATAGCTTAGTGAGTAGGGCACCAGCCACAAACCCCAAGGCTGGCAGGTTCAAACCCGGCCCAGACCTGCTAAATGACAATGACAACTGCAACCAAAAATAGTCAGGCGTTGTGACAGGTGCCTGTAGTCCCAGCTACTTAGAGGCTGAAGCAAGAGAATCACTTAAGCCCAAGAGTTTGAGGTTGCTTTGAACCTGTGATGCCATGGCACTCTACTGAGGGTGTCTCAAGAAAAAAAAAATGAAGTGCCCTGGTGAGGGTGTGAGCAACACAGCAGCTGGTCAGAGCAGGGAGAGATTTGTTTCCATTTTGATGGTCTTCTCTGGTTGGACCTTGAGGTGTTCAGAGAGAGTGCTGTCTGGTGACCGGATGGAGAGCCTTAGTGCCAGCTTCTTTGAAGTGTCCCCTGTAGGAAATGGCACCCCACCAAAGGTGGGGGTAACACAATCAGACAATTAAAGCAAGACTTAGAATCTTAAGTTCAGAAGAATTCTTAAGCAATTGAATTCAACCCTCTCAATTTACAAATGGGGAAAACAAAGCCCCAGATTTGAGACTCTGCACCCAGGGCTCTCATAGCTGTCAGCAGTGCTTTCATCCGGGTGAATGGCCAGGCTGTCCGCTCACCTCCCTTTGGTCACTGGCTGAGCCCAAAGCTTCCTGGGCTGTGATCTGCATCCCAAATGAAGCTGAGCTCTGTTGAGGTACTAAGAGCCGACAGACGAGGGGGCTATTTTGAGCCTCCAGGAATCAAGTTATGGTGACAGCAGGATTCACACCAGAGTCCATCTGACATCAGGGTAGGATTGTCCCTTGGCTGAATATGCCTCTCTTGAGCTGTGCACAAGCCCAGCCCATGGCCACCAACTGTATTTTTTCTGCAGCGTTGTGTTAAAACTGGCATTTGTCGAGATAAGCTACATGATCCCAAAGATGAGGAGTCTGGCAATGTGTGGCTGACTCTCTCCTGACGCTGTGCTCGGCACGGTGGAGCAGATGTTCCAGAGGTGACAGAAGGCATGATTGTGACCCATCAGAAGACAGTGTTTCTTTCTGGTGACAAAACCATCCCTGCTTCTTCGGTCCCTTTGTCAGCAAATGCCTCCCTTACCTCCTTGCGCAAGCCTGAAATTTTGGCACATTTTCAATGGCTCTCTGTCTGAAGCCTCTGGTACGCCAACAGCACCAAACCGTCCTGACTCTTGAGCACCCATCTGCCCCATCCTCTCGGGCATGGGCTAAAGTTCAGGCCACCATCATGTCTCATTGAAATCTCTCCCTGTTTCTCCTGCCTCAAGTCTCGTCTCCCTTAATTCACTCTTCATCTACGCCAAAGAGATGGAAAAGCCAAGATTCTTTCACCAATGGTCACTTTTCAGAGCCAGAGAACACACACAGTTTGCCTTCCAGCTTCTCTACAAAGCCCTTTCACGAGAAGTGCGGGTGATATAATCTTTGCCACAGACTATAGTGATTTTTTTTCCAACCGGGGATCACAGACAAAGATTCCATAGAATCAGCTAAACAATTATTTGTTCAACTTGCTAAAAAGTGAGTCAGCCGTTCTCGAAGATCTCAAACGCCCCATTCTCAGTTTAGAAGAGAGCTTTGCAAGACCTCGTCATTTCAGAGGTTTTACCAAAAGAGAAAGTTCACTATTTAATTATTTGGGATTATGGACTCAGCTTTCAGGCATCACAGAAAGGTGTGTTGAGAAAGGTGGACCTGAGCTATAGAGAAGGTAACAAAGAGGACTCACTCCAGTCAGAGACGTTCTGAACTCTGGGAGAAGTCGGCTGATGGGACCGAGTGGCCACCAGGACTGACCGTTCATTGTGTCAGGCTGGACACACATTACCCTATGACATAGTTATGATCATCAGCATGATTTTACAAAGGATGCTTAAATAACTTCCTGAAGATTCTAGATCTGGTAAGTGGGAAGCCAGGATTCAAACCCAGGATACAAGGTCCTAAATTCGCAGGGGTCATTTCTCATTGTTTTGACATAGATTTTTGTTTTTATTTATTTTATTTTATTTATTTATTGAGTTTTGGTACTCACGAAACTCATTTGAGGTAGATTTTCCCATTCTGGAGATTTGGTTATTCAGGGTCAAGAATTTAAAACTTGCCCCATGGAACTGAGTGAGTAGCAAGGCTGAGGTTGAAACTCGAATGTGGCTTCTCCCAAAGTCTGTGAGTTTCCCCTGCGCCTTCCCAGACAGCCTCTCACAGTGGAGCCACTGCCGAGTGACTGAGTCCCTGGCAATAATCGTAAAACCATATTCCAAAACTCTTCCACAAGACCTGTGTACTTAGCAAATACTGTTAAAATGGGGTTCTGACCAATAAAAGGCCAGGAAAGTTAGTATAAATTGGAGGAGCGGGTGAAGGTAACTCTAAACCTGGGCTGCGATATCCACACAGCAGATCCTCCTTCAGTCCTCGGCACGATGAGGGGCCCTGTCATCACTCTCTTTCTGTTCTCTGTGCTGTTTGCCATCTCAGAAGTGAGGAGCAAGGACTCGGTGAGGCTGTGTGGGCTGGAATACAGAAGGATGTTCATTTACATCTGTGCCAGCTCCAGGTGGAGAAGGCTCGCGGAGGGGAGCCCTCCGGTTCAGCCAGGTAATGCCAACTCCTTCATTTCCTCCCACAGGTCTCTCTTATTTTTTTCAAGCTGTTTTCCACCACAATTATTTTAGCAATTTTTTCTTTAAAAGCCATGTCAAGTTATGGGGTTAACTAAAATATATACTGAGGGTGGCCTGTAAAGAGATGACCGTGCTACCCACCTTCCAGAAGTAAGGGCCTCTGTCCTGAGTCTCCTGTGGGGATCCTGTGATTGTGAACGGGCCTCGGTGAACTCAGGCCAGAGCAGGTGCTGAGGGGGACCGGGAGGGCAAGGAGATGCATTTCCAGGGGCCTGCTGGAGTCTTTTACACACAGAAAGGGACAGACTATAGCAAGGTGGAAAGCAGCCAGCTGTCAGTTTAGAGTGAGGGGAAGAGCCTGCCTTTACTGAGCGCTTACTAAGTGCCTAAAGTGTCCCAGGCCACACTTTGGTCAGCTCTCTCATAAGGCTGCTGTCAACGCACACAGTTATTTTTCAGGGTTCACACGGGCTATTTTCCTTTATAGCACATCACTGTTAACACTGGAAGCTTCTGGCCCTTAGGCACAGGAAGGGGCCAGGTTCTGATGTGGCTGCTGCCGGGCTGTCCGAGCAACACTGGGCTCACTGCAGAGGAAATTCTGCACCATGAGGAGGGTGGAGATAACTGAGTTCTTCTCTAAATGTCTAATTTCCCAAAACCAGACCAACATTCAAAAGAAAACCATGCACAGATTCCTTTTCCTTGCAGAACGCAGCTCGTCCCCAGGGGAGGACGCCGCCCTCTCCGCAGGCCTCTCATGGGCTCTGTTCTTTTCTCTCCTGTGCAGCCCAGCTCCCAGATGCACCTGAAGTTTCCAAGGAAAACACCGCACGAACCCTTCTGATGGCGCCTGCCTCAGGGGAGGACCATTCGCAGGGTGGACAGATGGCCACGGCAGGGCTCTGGGAGGCGAGGAAGCGGTCAGCGATGTCCAGGCAGGACCTGCAGACCCTGTGCTGTGCCCGCGGCTGCTCCCTGGCAGAGTTGAGCGCTCTGTGTTAGGGGACAGGTGCCCTGGGGACGTGGCTCCCCACCGGCCTGAACCTGACAGTGTGATATTCCAGTGAGGCTTGGGGAGGGCGACCCTTCTCTAGACAGTGTGATGAATGGTTAAAACCTCAGTGGAGTCTGTCTCCTCCTTTGCCAAGGTGAATGCCCTGTTTTTGTTGTTTGTTTTTCAAATTCTAACTAATGCTTTGAAATTTCAAATGCTGTGCAAAATTATAATAAAAATGCTATAAACCAAGCTCCCTGTGATGTTTTCCTTTTAAAAACATTGTAAGTAACTTTTAAACAGTAAATAGAAAATGCTACTGGAGGAAAACCTAGAAAAATACACAAAAAAAGAAGAGAAAACGCAGCTGTTTTCTCATCGTCCAGAAACCACCGTTCCCAACTTTTGGAGTACTATGTATTATTATTGAAAATTTGAACATTGCAGCAATGGAAAATCTTCCCGTGAAAAGCAGGAAAGCCAGAAACCATTCAGGAGGTTTTCTGTCTGTCCAAAAACATCCTGAATTAAATTGAGACATAAAACACTGGGGAAATATTTCACTCAGATGACAGCCTAAAAAGCTAATGTTGTTAATGTAAAAAGGCTCTGAAAATTGATAAGAAGACTAAATAAAAAATGTGCGAAGTGTACGGACAGACTAATTTATGGCCGGAGACACACGAGTAAGGAGCCAATAAACATAAGCTGATGACTCTGCAGTTGAGCTACGGCAGATAAACCAAGGGACACTGAATATTTCGCCTATAAGAATCACACATTTTTGCAAGAGTAATGACATCACAGGCAGCTGAAGATATAGAGAGGTAGGGACTACCAGATATGTCTGGTAGGAATCTGAATTAATGCAGACTTTTAGGATAGAATCTTCTGATATGTATTTAAATTTAAAATTCCCAGGCTGGGTGTGGTGACTCATGCTTATAATCCCAGCACTTTGGGAGGCCGAGGAGGGACGATTGCTTGAGGCTAGGAGTTCAAGACCAGCCTAGGCAACATAATGAGACCTGGTTTCTACCCCCCCCCAAAAAGACCAGGCATAGTGGCCAACATCTGTAGACCCAACTACTGAAGAGGCTGAGGAAGGAGGATCACTGGAGTCCAGGGGTTCAAGTTTACAGTGAAGTATGATGGCACCCCTACACTCCAGCCTGGGTCACAGAGCAAACCTGTGTCCAAAAAAATAAAAAGAAAAATAAGTAAATACACACACTAAGATGTTACTGGAATATACTAAGATATCTTAAAGAAATCACTCAGATTGTTTTCGGTATTTGCCATTGTAAACAAAAGTCCTAAGGACTGACATTTTACTTCTATGGGATAACTTACCAAGTTGCTGAGGGAAGGAGCATATGTATTTTTTTTCATTATTTTTATGTTTTTTAAGAGATGGGGCCTCAGTCACCCGTGCTAGAGTGTAGTGGCACAGTCATAGCTCAGTGATCACAGCCTTGACCTCTGGGCTCCAGTGATTCTTCTGCCTCAGCCTCCGAGTAACTGGTATTATAGCTGCACGCCACTACACCCAGCCAATTTTTTAAATTTTTATATTTTTCTGTAGAGACTGGGTCATGCTGTATTTCCCAGGCTAGTCTCAAACTCCTGGGCTCCACTGACCTGCCTTGGACTCTCAAAGTCTGGGATTCCAGGTGTGAGCGCCATGCCGAGCAGATATTTATTAGGTGTTATAAATCTATTTATGTAAGTACATAGAAAAAAAAAGAAGAAAAGTGGGACTTAATCTCTTTATTTAAATAAATCCTGCAGCCCTGTTGTTGGAGAAAAAGAAGATAATTTGTATACGAGGTTAAGAAAGGCAAACGGCCCGTAGACGTGTATTATTTTCAATGGAACTTTATATCAATCAACAAAATGAACTAAAAATTCAGACGCAGTTCTGAAGTTAGTAAATTGAGTTCTCATTTATTTAAGCTTTGTATTTAGTTATGATGTAATAACATAACCTTTATTAGGAGTTTCTTATAATTTCTGTCTGAAATAAAAATCATGTTTATACTGAATTTATGTAGTCTAACTCAAACAGTTCAATTAGCGTGTTCTATCTACATCTGTTTATCAACTGTCTATCGTACCTGCGTATTATCTATCTCTCAATAGCACTGACTTTTAACTGTCCACTAAAATCTCTCCTCCTCCCCCTTGGCACATGGCCAGACTACACTTCTCAGCCTCCTCTGGGAGTGTGTGGTCATGTGACCGAGTTCCAGACAATTAAATATGAGCGGTGGTAACACGCCCCTTGTGAGACTAGTCCGTAAATCTGCCACCCTGCCCTGAACTTAGAAGCGCTTTGAGCTGTTTTATGTTTGAGTCTATTTTTAAAGCAATTGACTTACTGAATATTTCATACTGTTTTACACAAAAAGAGATCATATAGTACAAGATTAGAGAAAATGCAGAAAACAAAGTACTGAGTGTTAAAGGGTAACTAGCTACAGACACATGGCAATTTAACAAAAGATATGATAACGGCATGGCAATAATGTGAAGGTTTCACTGTTGATTATATTAGGTGATGGCCCTGGAGAGGTCCTGAATTCTAGGCATACTCTTGTCTATCCCCACTGTGTATAAGCACCCCTATTTACCTCCCAAAGGGCTGAGATTACAGGTTAGTACATGACTTTTAAGTGAATTTTTACTTATTTGTACACAGATGAATTGCTGGAATACTCCCAGTTATTAATAATGTCTTCTCTTTTTTATTATATACCACTGTGCTTTATTTGCTAGCATTTTTGTACATAATTTTCTTTTTTTCCTTGTATTTGTTTGTTAATTAATTAATTATTTTTTATTAAATCATAACTTTATACATTGATGCATTTATGGGGTTCAGGGTACTGCTTCGATATACATTGTGTAATGTTTACATTGAACCAAGTAACACATCCATCACAATTATACTCATTTCTTAGTGTTGCACATAATTTTCATAAACAACATGTGTCTTTGCTGTCATATGTTTAAGTGATTTTGATATTGAGGTTAAGGGAGCCCCATAAAATGAGTTGGAAAGTGTTCCTTCTTTCCCTAATCTCTCAATGTTTCAGATTGGCGTTATTTCTTCTCTAAGTGATTATGCCCTTAAATGGCTTTTACTTAGGCTTGTAAACTGGGATACAAGAAATTTAATGATACGTTAAAAAGAAATTCTTATAGGTATCCTATCAAAATAAGGTTCTTTCCTTAAAGGAAAATATAAAGCTATTAATAGCATAGTTTTATAATTAATAACATTTATTTTTCTTTAGTTTCAAAACGACATGATTAATCTCTAAGCTTAATATCTCTTACATGAATTTTAAAAAATATTTCTCAGTATCTCCTAAACAGTTCAGGCCAGACATTCCGTCTTTCTGACGGTTACATGGTCCATCTTCATCATAACCCTGACCCTGACATCTTTCCTTTCTAGATCACAGAGGCAAAATGAATCTCCGTGCTGCCCATACTGGTTATACTGGTTCCTGGCCTTGTGAGGCAGGGAAATAGCCTGGTGGGTGGTTGGAAACCCTACACGTTTCAAGTTATATCCTGCATTAAAGTGAAATAAATTGTGTACCCGAGTTGAATTGGCAACAACAGAAATTGAGATTACCAGAGATTTACATCAGCTACTTCACACATGTGCCTCAGTGAGCCCTCTAGCAGTGACTATTCATACGTGTGAAGGGAAGAGAAGACACGAATTCCAATGGGCACCGAGACAGGAGAGCAGAGTGGCAGGGAGCAAAAGCGTGGAGAGGGACCAAGGAAGTCTGCAAAGCCAACCCTCTGCATGGAGGAAGCCAGCGTAAGAACAGGTCAAGGTTAGCAAAAGAGAGGCTGGACTTGGGAATGAACAGGACGGTGTGATAAACGTGGACTTGAGGAGAAAGTATTTGTTATTCACAAATGCAGTCGTAGATGATTCCAGGCTTCAGAACAATCCTGGTAATCTAGGGAATGACATTATGGAGGTGAGCAGAAATTGCAAAAACTTCCGCTTGGTGTTTTAGGATATAGGTTCTACAGAAAAAAATTAGAAGCTGAGAACAAGCGTCTACCGTAGATCAGATAGTTCACACACAGTTTTCCTTTCCGTCTTCATGATAAGAATGTAAGTAGTAGTCCTAACTCTAATCACTTTTACCTCTGGGGAAGTTGTGGCTGAAGACGTACCCACCTTGTCAAGTCACCCAGCCGGTGAAGGTTAGGAGCTGAAGGAGGCGTCTGCCAAAATCTGCACAGACGCCGCCCAACCTCCTCTACTGCAGTGTCGTTCAGAAGAAATTAGTTTGGGAGAGAGCTAAGGTGGAGCCCAGCTGGAGAAAGAAACATGGTGCAGATCTGGCCTGGGGGACCAGCCACTTTGCTGTTTTTAAAGTGACACACAGGTGGGGATGAGAACCAGATTGCCGCGGTGAAAGCAGAACACGGGAATTGAGGAGAAAGTCAGAGACGCAGGCTGTGGACCACGGCCGAAGGAGAATTTAAGAAGCAAAAAGCCATATTTCATGTTGAGTTTTCTTAATGCATTTTTGGGTGGTATCTCAAAAGACAGGTCAAATGAAGGGCCTGGCAAAGAACGTGCTCGTTATCTAACGTGACTAGGTATAAAAACCCTAATTTCTCAACTGCCATTGTTTAAACCACTCCCATTCATTGGATAATTCCCAAGAGTTTTAAAAAGTAAAGGGGCTTTTCCCCAGCATATACTCTGCTGGACTCTGCTGTGAGGACTCACCGTTTTGTGTTTTCTGTAACATAGTTCTGTTAGGAGTGATGGCAGACCACAGCTTCCACTCCTCCACTCAGGATGCTGATGGAATTCTGAGAGAACCATTACCTTTCTCAGGGTGTCTAACAACAGAAAGTCATCATATGGAACTTTTTTTAAAATGAAGAGAAACCAAAAGACGTCATTTAGTTTTGGTTTGGGTAAAAAAAAATTGTCTATTGATTTTTGGCGGTGAGGGTGGCTTCTGGCTGATGTTCCCAGAGCTAACAGAATTTTCAGTAATTTGCTGTTAGCATTGACTATATTTGCTGAAGATCCTGCTAATGAATATTTTATGAAGCAGGAGGAAGATGTGAGGTCTCCATCTGGTTGACTGCCAAGTCTAAATCTCTCACCTTGATGTCGTAGCTCAGCTGCAGCCCCGCTGTCTATCTGCTCTATCTCCAGCTCAATGTCATTAACTTAAATTCCAAAGTCCGAATCAAACTCAGTACTTGATTCCTCAGACTCTTCCTTCCGACTTCCTTCTTCCTGCCAACAGGACTATCGATCTAGTTACTCAGACTCAGACGTCCAGCTGCAATCCCAGGTGCTACCGTGCAGTTAAGGGCCTCTTGTCCAGGATTAACTGACCACCATCAAAACCCCATGGGGGAGATTTCAGCATCATTATTACTTCACAGTGGGAACGCTGAAACTTAGCAAGACTAGTGACTGATGTAAGGTGCCTGGAGCAGCAGGACTCAGACCCCAGCCTGCAAACATCCCACATGTGAAGCTCTCCCCTGCTCCGTCCTGAGGGCTTCGAGGCCCTCCTGACCCCTCTTTCTTTGTGACTGTGTCGGCACAGGTGTCTTCTCCCTCCCATTTTCACATTCCTGTTTAGCTCAGCCTCTGTCGCCGCTTTCTAACATTTTTGGGGAAGTCACTTCATGTACGCTACCGACCTAATGAAAACCTTTCCTTGACCATCAATTGTCTGAGCATCGATTTTCTTACCCACACAGCCGTCACGTGCCCTTCCAGTCTACGTGAACTCCACTCATCTTCATGAACACTGGGTTTATCCAGGCTGGACTCCATCCTATGGCCCTGTTGGAATTCTACTTTTCTTCTTCACAGTCTAAATTATACTGTTACTTCCCTTCATGAAGCCCCCCATGATTTCCTTAATGAGATACAGATACTCCGGGCTTTCCTCCTGCCAACACGCCCTGTCCTGTGGTTCCCGGTGTCCTCTCACCATGCCTGCATCACCCTGGCTCCTGGGGGCTGAACTGAGTGTTGCCCTTATCCAAGTACCCAGGAGTTATGCAGCCCGGGGCAAGGCCCATGAGACTTGCTTAAAAAGTAAAATGAAATTAAATTTTTTGGTTAGGTGCAGTCCATGTATTGAATATGTTTTCCATTTAGTAAGAAAAATAAAACAAATATTCAAAAATGAGCTAGAGAACAATCAGGAGCTCCACTGTGAGTGGTGAGAGAAGAGAGAGAGCAGGAAGAAGCAGCAGGTGGGGAGAGACGGAGAGAGGAGAGCTGAGTCTGGCCTGGGACGTGGAGACGCTGCCGGAACAAAGGGGCTGTTGCGGGGAGAACGGGGACGGCTCTGAGGGAGGCTCTGGCACAGCCAGCCTGGGAGGAGGAGCAGCACCCTAGGGACACCCGTGGAGAGGGAGAAGCACCAGGCAGTGCAGGGTGGAATAACCCCTCAAATGTAGTGTCATTTCTTCACACATTTCCTACGACAGGCTCTGTGTGATAACCACCGTTCTTCCAAGTGAGTTGAGATTAGTGAGTCCTCACGGGATGGTCCTACGCTGCTGGATAATTGTCAGAATTCATCACTGACTATCTGAATTACAGTACGTGGCAAGATGCTTTCTTTCTTTATTGTAATTGCCATCATATTTTAAAGTTTTGATTCCCAATACAGCCGAGGGAAGATGGTAAGAAATTATCTCATAAATTAGAAGCCTAAAAAAAGCCATTTTTTCAATAGACTTTATATAATAAAGATGTTTCTTTATTCTGACTTATTCATGCAAAATGGTTTCATGACTGCCCCTGCCCTTGTTCCAGGAAGGGAAACGTTCACCAATGTATAAAGAAAATCTGAAGCCTGTTTATTTACTATACTCATAATCTGACCCAGACTCAAAACTGGCTAGTGGAGATGGAACAACATCGGTTGTGATAAATTATGACACAGAAATATTCCCACTACAGCGCTAACAGGAAAAAAAATAACGAAAATTGACAAATTCATTTTGAAAAGCCACTTTAAAAGCCAGAACAAGCAGAAAGAAAGAGATTTTTTAAAGTATCCATTTTTTTTTTTAATAACACATCATTTTGGGGGAAAGTCAAACACCACGACAGTTTAGAATTATAAAGCATTGATGGGCTCTCCATTTGTTAAACTCTTTCTGGTATGAATTACACTTTATTTTTTTCTTTCAGACTAAAGCATCGCTAATTTTCTCCACATGTGTACAATTTGTCTTTGACCTTTGACAAATGTCCTCCGGGCAGTCCACTTACATCCAAGAACAAGGCCTCAGCATCACTTTACGCACACACAAAGGCTTGAAAGCGCCATAAAAGTAAATGATCCATGGTACAAAACACATTATCCAGTGGAGTAATAAGCTATTTCAGCCCTGTAAATCTTAGTGCCATGTATTCAAAACCTCACTGGGTCACTTTAGTATTAAATTCATAGGAACAAAATAGCAAATACACATGCTTTATTTGTGACGCGGCCAGCTATATAGTTTGTGTAAAAGTTTGTTAGCAGAGGAAACCCTCTTCCAAGGCGTATCAGGCAGTATTTAAAGGCAGTGTCTCTTTCTAATACGTGATTTAATGTGTTACAGATCCATTTACTATTAAGCATCATGTATATTTAATGTCACAACGTCTACTTCAGTGCCTAAAAAGCCTTGCCTACTTTATAGTTTCCATTATTGAAGAGCCACATCCAGGCCTCTCACAATTGTGTGAAGGGCAGGCAACCCACGAGAGCTTCCAGTTTTAGCCTGGGGCCCGCGGGACCATGGTAATTGTTATGAAGCCATTAATTCCACCTCAGCAGTTTCAACTGTCAGGTACACGTAACAATAATTGCACTTAATGACGCTGCCCAGTTTATTAAGTGCAGAGTGAGAGCCAGCATCCTTCACATGCAGCAGTGAGGTGCATTACTTACCATTTGTGTATTGAGTCTGCCATGCTGAATGCTCTATTATCATTGATCGGTCAGGTCAAAATATTGATAGCCATGTCTTTTAAAAACTTCTCTTCATTAAAAAATAATGCAGGGAATTCTAACTCTCTAATTAAAGGGTAATTAAACTAATTAGTATGCAAAGCAATGTGTAATAAGAATCTACATCTATGCAAACCCAGGACTGAATCCTCAAAACAAGATTCTTCTCTTGTGCCCTCCTCTCCTCCCCCCAATTCTTACAAGAGTACGAGAAAAGTCCAAAAGCCCCACGTGTATGAAATATGAGAGTTACTTCTTGCTCAAAGTTTTTGGCAGTGAATCTTTGTGTACAAAGATTAGCTTGTTTCATGATATTAAAAAGTAAGAACTAGATTTCTTATCTTCAGTCACTCAAGGTAAACGCCATAGACATTTGCAAGAGCAAAGAGAGAAGAATTTCTGAAAACATAAGATGAAAAGGTGTCACTTTTAGGGTCCCAGAGACATCGACTTCCAATGAGGATGCTCTGACCGTCCAGCTGCCCGATGTGAACAACCACAATCAGCTTATACCGTGGGGCCATCACGTCCTTGACCCGGGCTTTGATAATCTAGATATTTAAAGAAAAAGATGGGTATGCAGTTAGCCCAATTGAAGCTACAAACATCCTAAGCTTTGTTACCAATACAAGAGATTGGATGTAAGAGCACAATGCACTGTGGATACTGCCGGTGATTACTGGGGAGCGGGGCTGTCATTTCCCTCGGGCATGGCCTTTATTCAGGACATTCAGGGACACGTGATTTCACCAGCAACAAGTCTAAAGCACAGGGAAAAATTGGAATCCAGAGCACAAAATTTAATGAATCATTACATTCCATGGAAATCTGTGCTAAGACAGCTGTCTTTCAAAGAACGTTGGCCTGGGAGTTAGAATGTCCTGTTTATGTCTGATTAAGGGGCCAACCCCCGGACTCTTCTGTAATATGACCAATCATCAATGCTTATTAAAGAGTTTAGTATAAAAAGGAAAGAGGAAAGCTGGATGAAGGGTCAGCACGTTGGTTGATAAAAGTAGAAATATACTTAAAGACCACGGTGTCTGTATTTGATGGCACTCCCAGAAGCCATCAGGTGAGAAGAGAAAATTATTAAAATACTGTATCTTTCACAATATTTTTATAAATGGGGAATTTTTCCATAAAATACATGGAAATGATGCACATGATTGTTCTAGACAAAGGCTTTTGCACCCACACTCAGAATATTTACTACGAGCTAGGACATATTTTCATAAACTATAGACACACGTTTCAGCTGTTACTTCACATTAATTCCCTCCATCAGAAAGAACGTTTGTGCTCTCAGCTGACATTCTGGCCATCGTTAGCCCTTCATGCCCGCCAAACGCGTACCTCGGAAATCGTTTTAGCCCTCTGTCCGCAGAGCTCCGGCTCATAGTTCTCTTCTCGCAGACAGTTAGTTAACACATCTTTCAAAATATGATTGACAGTGACCGCGGGAAAATGTTTGGGAGGACCTGAAAATACACAGAAAATTTCTTTCTAAAAAGTGATTTCAAATCGTATCCCTGAACCCTCAGCTTGATCAAAAGAGCACTGAGCGTGAAGAGACATTTGATCCCAGGTGCTCCCCACTTAAGGAGACAAGTGGTCCTGACAGGCCCTGCTGTCCAGGTCTGGGGAGTAGACAGGGGACAGCAGACTCAGGCATTTCTGGGGTGACCTGGAAAGTGTGCTTGGCACTCTTGGGGTTTCACGTTGGGACTCTCTCCTTTTGGTTCCGCTGGTGACTTACCGTCTCAGCAGCTTTCCACCCGGCTCCTCACCTCTTATTCCTCCCCCTCCAATCCACCTGCCATACCCTAGGTAACATTCCCTTTCAAGACTCAACGCAGGGCCTCTCCTGCCCTGACAGCTGTCCATGCACAGCCTGGTGGGTTTCACCTGTCCTGAGGGCACTGGCGTGTCTGTTTACTGCTCTTTTTCTCAAATGGACACCTTTTCCCATTGTGCTCATGGAAGAAATGGCCACTCATGATTCAAGTCCAGCTCAAACATCTTGGCCAGGTAGTCACCCTCCTCCCCTAGATCAAAGCCATCCCCCCCATCTCCCCACTCCCTTTGCTGTCCTGGCTCCTGGTCCACTTGGTCACACTGAGGCACACCCACGTTTCTCTAATACAATGCTAAAGGCATAAGAAACTTGAAGTGTATGATTTCTGAATGTTAATAGAATTAAAAATTTATGGATAATAGTCACTATACAAATAATGGTTACTATTTTTTTTGAGACAGAGTCCCATTCTATGTCCTGGGTAGGTGCAGTGGCATCATCACAGCTCACAGCAACATCAAACTCCTGGGCTCACGTGAAGTAGCTGGGACTACAGGCGCCTGCCACAACTCCCAGCTAGTGTTTCTATTTTTAGTAGAGACAGGGTCTTGCTCTTCCTCAGGCTGGTCTTGAACTCTTGAGCTCAGGGGATCCTCCTGTCTTGGCCTCCCAGAGGGCTGGGATCCCAGGAGTAGCGACCACGGCTGCCCACAGCTCCTTCATACTGAGCATTTTCCATGGCAGCACTGTGATGAACTCTTCGTACTTATCAACTTCGAGACCTTCCGACAACCTCAGAGGTGTCTCACTGTTTTCTCCATGTTGTGGGTGAGGAAACAGAGGCTTAAATACCTTGAGTGGCCTGTCCAGTGTCACACAGTACAGTGCTGGGACACATACCCAGGCTTGTGTGACACTGGCATCTACATTTGCAGGCACATCTCATCCCTGTTCAGAGAGGAAGCTTCAGATGCACCTTCTCCATCCTGCACCAGGTCACATGCTCACGTCACCGCACCAACCAGCCTGTGCCCAGGGCTGGCACAGGGCGGCTTGCTCATTGTTTGTTCAATTGCTAAAGATCACGAAATATATCCAATTCTTCTTCAATAGTCACCGGTGTCTGTGCATCAGGGTCAAAGGAAACCAGCATGCTGAACCCAGGACCTTTCCAGGAGGACGTGACAAAGGGGTCTGGGCGGGTCCTAGAGGGTGCAGGGCTGATGAGGGACGGTGCAGCCACCCAGCTAGTGGGGTGAGGGCATCACTCCTCCCCATCCCGGGATCCAGAGCCTAGGAGGGAAGTTCTGAGTCCCAGAAGAGGTGTACGGAGAGGGCTCCCCCAAGAGCAGCTTCTGTCCTTTGCTGAGGGCTGTGACCAGTGGGAGATAACAGTAGGCAGGGCCAGGGTAACCAACACCGGCCTCACACCTGCTGTCCTGCTTCCTGCTGGGGTTTGCTTATGGCTGAATTATGCAGAAGGTGCAGGACTGTTAGGCTAGCCTCCTGAGGCTCTGTAAATAGAATTTTTATTTTAATGAAATGTAAGAATTGTTTAAGTCAGAGTCAGGGAGAGAATCGAGACGTGCCAAGCGGAGATGTTGGACGTGAGGACTCTAGCACTTAACCACAGCATTCACTCATCAGAGTCTCTGTTCTGGGGTCAGAGAAACCCACTTACAAGCTGTGAATGCCTGTGTGGTCAGCTACTGCTCCTGGGGTGAGAGTTAGGGCACCAGACACAAGTGTCCTGGAAGTCAGCACCTGGGGGCTCAGAGGCCTGTGTGCCACTCTCATGCTGTGTGAAGTGACGCTGAACTTGGGGGCCATTTCCTCTTTTCTGTTTAAGAAATTTAGGAGTGATATCATCAGACTGGGCTAAATTAAAGAGATCATTTTCTCCTCTTTTGCTTCCCTCTATGGGCCGTGCACCTGACGCGTCCTGCCCTCCCAGGTGGCTCCTGGTTCTGCACCGCGCCTGCTCAAAGCATGGCCCACTCAGCAGAGCACCTCAGCGCAGCTGCTGTCTCTCTCCCTTTCATTGGGCCCAGCACCTTCCTTTCCAGGAACTGGCCCTGTTCCTAATCTCACCACTTGGTTTTTTTTTTTTTTTTTTGCAGTTTTTGGCTGGGGGCTGGGTTTGAACCCACCACCTCCAGCATATGGGGCCAGCGCCCCAGTCCTTTGAGCCACAGGCAATGCCAACCACTTGGTATTTTAAAGTCTCCTGTTATGTCCCGTGAACCCCAGTCCAGGCCTGGCTGACTGCCCCAGGGGTGATGCAGCCCTGGCCATGTCACTTAGTCCTTTCTTGGAATTTTATTTTAAACTGGAACTAGGAAAAATGACTCAGCCTCTCCCTGGTGGCAAAAGTTACAACATGTGGTTCTTAGGAATTGCTAGAGCCTGTGTTTTTCACAGTGGGATGGAGGCCAGGCCACAGTGAGGGAAGGATGTCCACATAGTCAGTGAGTGCCGGAGAGAGAGAATCTCGGTGGCCAGGCCATAGTGAGGGAAGGATGTCCACACAGTGAGTGCTGGAGAGAGAAAGAATCTGGGTGGCCAGGCCACAGTGAGGGAAGGACATCCACACGGTCAGTGAGTGCTGGAGAGAGAGAGTCTTAGCGATACTGAGTCTGTGTCCTGTAGTTACCATCGTCCAGCTGCTCCAATGTCCTTTCCATATGTTGCTCAGTTAAAAGAAAAACTCATTCACCAGATTCTATCTTGAAAATATTTTGAAATACAGTAATGAAACGTTCGTGTGACCTTTCTTCTCATATCCAGATCACCCATCACCCTGCTCAGATTGGGAGGCAGAGAAGGAAAGAGAGAGGACACAACGTCCAGCTCCTGACGTCTAAAACAAGCTCTTAGGGCGACGTGCAGTCAACTAACGTGAGAGCAAACCTTTTCTTCTTCTCCATTTTGAGTTTGTCTCCTCCTTTAGAAAGAAAAACTATTTTAGAAATCAAAAGATGAAGACCTAAAAGGGTCAGGACCAAAAAAAATACCAAAATTAAAAAAAAAATAGATAAAAGAAAAATAAACATGGGGTTACTCAACATGTGTGTCTCAACTCCTCCGAAATAAGGCAGTGAGACTTACTACATATTTTTTTAATTAGGATTAAATGAGAAAATATTTAAAATGTTTAGAATAGTGCCTACTACATAATACTAATAAAACACTCATTAGGTACTTTTTCTTGTTAGAGTTATTGTTATTGTTTTGATCACTGTATTCTCAGGGCAGGGATGGGATTCGCCTGGCTGAGAAGGTACAAGTTGGGAGAGATATGCGGCCCCTGGGGTTGCAGAAGTTGGTGCCCAGGGACTGACAGGTTCTGTCCACGAGCACCTGACACTAGAGACGGGGCTGGAGCATCAGGGAAGCTGAGCTCAGAGGCCTCTGTGTGCATCTCAGTGCTGAGGATCTGTTAACCCTTCCCACAGGCTGGCGTCGTCCCCAGACGGCGGTCCTGATGTGGCTGCAGGGGGGCCCCGGCAGGTGCAGTTCCACCTGGTAGTCACAGGCAGTGTCTTTAGGGAATTGGCAGCACTGTGACGACAGCCCAGAGAAATTCCTGTGGAAACTTGCTCCATCAGTAGCAGGAAGTGGCCCTGAAGACCAGGGGCCTAGAGTGGGTCGCCTCACTGGCTCCTCGCAGCAGCCCTGACGTGTAGGGCACCATCCCTGTTTACAGACGAGGGGACTGAGGTGAAGACTGTAAACACCTGGCCCAAACATCCTTTACCTGTGAATTACAGGTACTACATTCAAATTCAGATCCCAGATTCCACAGCCTGCATTTCCTACTGTGCTCCTGTGTCCGTGATTAATTACTGAGAAAAGGCGGGATGCTTTATTATAAGAAACATAATTTCCTTTTTCCATTCCTTTTCTTCCTCTCAGGAATTATCCTCATCTTCCATCTCACTGGTGGCAGCTGTAATAACGTAGGTAAATTCTATTGTTTAAGATGTATTTAGATGAACAAAAACACGATTGGACAGAATGAGAAATCAATTAAACACACAGTGCTGGTGTTTGGCTGGTGTCTCCTTCCACTCTCTGGGCCAGGAGAACCACAGGCTCTATGAGAACACCAGTAGATGGGGCACTGTAATTATGAGGTGCTGCAATCCTTGTAGTCTTGGGGGTAGTGCACAGGTGAAAAATCTTTACCTTTCGCATGCAAAATAAATAAGAAGCACGCAGAAGTGAAAATACAGTTTTGATCAAACGTCATTAAAACGGCGAGCTGGACACTTACGAAAGTGCACATGGTCAGCACAAAACACTTTAATCACAAATTTCACACAGACTTTTCTAAGAAAATACGGAAATTTTTTATCTAGGCTAAGATATTTTAGAAAGCACTTTCCTAATTTAGTTCAATACACAGTAGTTCTAAAACTGATACGATGAATTTGTTTATTTGAAGAAATAAGTTGTAAAAATACTGTATGACCTTACAAACGAAGCAAAAAAATGCAAAGACTCGCTCCAACGGCGTCATCTTGTTGGAATCGGATTCAAACCCCTCCCCAGCACGCTCGGCTGGAAGTCACAGGCACCCCAGGGCTAAGAACTTCAGTTACAAGAGGGGAAAACCTGACCAACTTAGCTAACCGAGGGGACCCAAGTGCATGGGCAGCTGAAAAGACGACCCCAGGATTTAATTGTTTTCTCTGTTTCAGGCTCAGGTTGGGCAAGAAGACAGAAGCCTCCACAAGCTGCCAGCTCGGGATTCTGGGCCTCAAGTGCTTCTCCAGCAGGCTGACCCACGTTTCCCTAATTTAGCCTCACAAGCTTTGATTGGGTTGACCAGGATTATAATCCTACCCAGAATCATCAGTGTTCTGTGAAGCTAGCGTCACCTGTGGCAGGATGTTAGTCTAGGGACCGAAAGTGGTGATGAGGGTGCTGGTGAGACGGCCCCAAAGGAGTCACCAGAGGAGTGCATGGATGGCAGAGGTATTTGCTGTCCCCCACAGACTCCGTGAGAATACCAGTAGACGGGGCACTGTAATGAGGGGCTGCAAGCCTCACAGTCTCCGGGGAAGCCACAGGGACAGGCTGTGAGGTCTGTTGGGATGGGCTGATGGTCTATAATTTTCTGGGGTTAACTGGCCACAGATGGGATCACTCTGCCCCATAGAGTCTTCCTTTGCCCCTTGGTATGTCTCTGCAGAATTTCTATAGAGTGGTAATTATATATGGACTCAGATAATAGTGGGCAGTACAGTGTTTAGAGAAAACAAGCAGGTCTAAGAAGAAACACGAATGGGAAAAGATATTTGCTGTGGACTCCACCTGGGAGTACAGGGGCAGGTGTGAAGATCTTTGTTTTCAAAGACCTGAAACCCCAGTGGCAGTGGATAAACATCTCTGTCAACAGGGGACTACTCTCCTTGGCCTTGGCCTTGAGGACTTTTCCCTCCACCTATTAACAACATTGACTTTGTTGAATAAAACATCTAGCATATTTCTTTCATTTAACTCTCTCTCTCTCTCCACCCAGAGATACCCAATGAACTTCTTAATGTGATAACAGGCTACACGCATCAGTGCCCCCAGGGAATGGCTTGGTATTTGGGAGACTGTCAGAGAAAACCAGTGCTGCTACCACTCTGCAGAGGGGGAGAGTAAGGCAGCATCAAATCACTCGGTAAATTACAGTCCCTTAGCTTGGGCTGGGATTGAATTATATCAAATATAATTTTTAAGTAAATACCAGTTACCAAATTAGAAATTCATTATAGGGAGTAAGAGATAAAATAACCCACCCAGCTGGTAGGTGTTTCCCATCTGAACAGTAAGGCGAGAGGCATCGTCAGGCTGGCCAGGTTCATCCAGGTAGGACGCCGTGCTCTTGGAGCTGGGGGAAAACACACTTTAACTATTATTGTAACAGTAATAACAAATACGATATTACTTCAGGCTAAAATGTGACAGAGCTTTAAGTTTTCTCTGGAAAATTTCAGGTAGTTCCATGTAAATATCCTACTGACATGTTTACAATCTAAAACATGTTAGGGATGGAAATAATAAGATGGGAATTTATCTGGAGCAGGTCTCAGGGCGATGGTGGAGCTCAGGGCAGTCACCAGGTCATCTGATTACCCAGAAAGTGCCCCTGGATTGATGGATGTGTGCCGGGGCACTGGCACAGGTTTCTAAGCCACTGTCCCTCACCTCTCCACCACAGACACAAGGCCACTGCCCTCACCTATCCACCACGGACACAAGGCCACTGCCCTCACCTCTCCACCACGAACACAAGGCCACTGCCCCTCACCTCTCCACCACGGACACAAGGCCACTGCCCCTCACCTCTCCACCACGGACACAAGGCCACTGCCCCTCACCTC